GAAAACAGTTGTTCGTTTCAAATACACAGTCTCAGTTTCGAATAGCATAAACTAATTCTCTTTTGATATTCTAATTTTATCTACGTATTGCTGTCTTCTATTAATTCATTTCGATCTTTTTTCTCTGCACTTCCATCGACAGGAAACGTTCCTTGTTCAAAGTAAAAGTCATCTCCTGAATATACATATGAGAAGAAATGTTTACATGATCTCTATCTAGTTGCTAACGATCAGAAATAAAACAGACTAATCTACAAAAACTTCACCTATCTTCTAAATCTTAGTAGGAAAATTATTGTATTTCCCGCTTACCTTTCCACCAACCACTGCAATACAATTTCTCAACTACATTTGCCGTTCCATTGTCGTTTCCGTTGCTCTAGAAATGAAAACAAAATACAAGTTCAGACTGATTATACTCACACTCACCCACCCTCACACCCCACCCTAATACTACTGGCCATCACTTGTTCATCCGATTTATTATCTTTGATTTGTTCTAACCGAACCTGTAAACATAAAATTCTATATGCTACTGGAATTAAACGAAACAGCTACTAGTACCAGGAGTGCCCAGGTCGACCAATCCCGTACTCGGGCCCGATTGGATCCAATATTAGACTTTACCGGAATTCGACAATCCGACAAAATCCTATCGGATTTCCGGTGGCGGATCTGCATCGGATTCAACATAGGAGCCGACAGATAAACAAAAGGCCATCATAGAATATAGCTAAAAAGAACACCCATCAAATTTGCAGCATTTGGTGTGAGATTTACCAACGGAATCCAATTCAAATCCGTCACCGGGAATCCTATCAGGTCCGTTGTTGGATTGATGCATCTGGGTGTCTTCATTTCGCTGAGAATATTTAGATTATCCGGCTCTTCTACTTGTCGAATGGCCAGCTAAAAAAATTATGGAGAATGTGCAGATTTATCTGATTCCCAGGTCGAAGAATCCGGGCCGGAACTGACTAGTTCCAGGACCTTCCGGGAATTTCATGGAAGCAGTATTCCAGCTACCGAATCCTTTCATCGCATTTAAAAAGTTTTATCGGGAACCAGCAAGAACCCGCCATAACCATTAGTCGGATACGGTTACCGGTTCCTTCAGTGGGATTCCGAGTATTTTCTCGTGGTTTCCAGCGCGGATACTATAAATATCCTGCNGGGCCGGAACTGACTAGTTCCAGGACCTTCCGGGAATTTCATGGAAGCAGTATTCCAGCTACCGAATCCTTTCATCGCATTTAAAAAGTTTTATCGGGAACCGGCAAGAACCCGCCATAACCATTAGTCGGATACGGTTACCGGTTCCTTCAGTGGGATTCCGAGTATTTTCTCGTGGTTTCCAGCGCGGATACTATAAATATCCTGCCGGTTTTCACGGGAAATAAGCGGAATACTGCTTCCGGGAACGATCGTCCTGAGTTGGTTGACGCACTTCCGTAAGTTCAGCACTTAGTTGTTCATTCATTGAATCGATAGACATAACGAATAAATTGACGAAATGAAATCGATCTAAATGCGAGCAGAAGCATGGAATAATATATTTTCAATCCGATTCGATTTCATACTTGGCGTTCTGCACAACTAAATATAATGGTCAGTTGTATGATAAGAATAACTCAACGGATGCCACGGAGCCCGAAATAAAACAATGAAATCTAAACAAAGTTCAAATCTTGTTGACAGCATTTATTTTTCCCGAATAAAATGAAAACTTCCTATCTTTTCGTATGAAATAGTATGTGAGAAAGACGCTTATTTTAGCGTTATGAATGCAACGAAACCGCCTCCGATAGACAATAAAAAGTAGTTTCAATATTGATTTGTCTGTAATGATGTTCACCAATTCTTCCGTCAAATTCTAGGTGCTTTCATCTATTTTCAATCGAAAGATAACGCACACGAATTACACTAAGGTGAGGCAGAGGCAAGCAGAACACAAAAGAAGCGAGCAGTGCAATATTATAGATAAATTAAACCAAATCATATTATTTGGTTTTAATTTTCGATGCCCTAGACAACAGACAAAAGATGTCACTGCCCGCAGTCTAGTTCACAATCGACTCAAAGACGAACAATTCTCATACTGTACAGATGTTTCCTTCAATCCGATGAAACCCTTTATTCCAAAAAAATTGATCGAAGCATTTTGTGCAGTGTCCTCTTGAATATTATCTCAGTTTTGCGGACAAATGTTATAAATCAAATCGCTTCATATGCACTGTTACAATAATTATGATATTATGGTCGAGTATGTAGAGAACAATAAATGTCACTCATTTATCCATCTTCTCATTTTCATCTTTCCTAACTGAATTCCACAGCTCCTTCGTTCAATCCCATATCCAACTGAAAACATTTTCCCTCATGTGTAAATTGAAATGCATTCAATAATCCACTTCGAAACAATCGAACTAACTCACCTCATGCACATCGATTCACCTCATCCTCATCATCAGATCATCGTAATTGATTTACATCACTAATTGATTGATTACTTCTTACCTTCTCTAAGTGATTATGCATATAAATATCTTCATTCATCATCTGATGAACATCACAAGTTGAAAACATGCATTCTCTTCTCGACGATCACAACTCATCTGACATCGACGTTTCCAACGCAAGTCCAAAGTGAGATCTCAACAAAACGATATTTGAAGGAAAAGACAAATTGTTGATTGTTTTAGCGCATCCATCCAGCGAATCAGTCATATCGTCACAAGTACACCACATCAAGCGAACAAACCACGAGTGAACTTTCATTCAGTTGAATCGTTAGCTATCTCATCTTCGGTGAATACCTCTTCTTCCTTTTCCCTTCAACCACCCGGTAAGTCACCTTTTCATAAAGAAAGATCGTTGACTTCAATCAAGTCCGTGAGTAACGTGTTTGATTCCAGTTTAATCACATTTCATCTTGACGAAGCATTAACATCTATTTCTCGTTTAGATGATACTGGTTACAACTCACTGAATTCATCAGCATCGATCAATGAACATCAGTCATCGATCACAATATCGACAAGTGAAAGAAAGGTATGTCTGATGGATTCACGTGATAGACTGATTTGTTTGTGTTTAGTCACGGCGAAAGTTAAGTGACTGGCAAATCTGGCATCTTCGTCAAGTTTACTCAACAAATCGATATCCAACACCGTGTGAACAAGAACAGCTAGCTCAACAACTTCTATTGCCTTTATCGTCGATCCGTATTTGGTTTCAGAACTATCGTGCACGATCTGGAAGAAACTTGTAACTAGACTTTTCGTATTTTTCTGTCTGTAGTTGATTTATTTTTATCAGTAAAATAAATGATCTCTAGTCAAATGTCCATGTTATTTGATTTTCGAGGAGGAAAACATCGAGCGGTCGTTCTGTTTGCCATAAAACATCTTTGTACCATGCTAGCAGATCCGATCTAAGAAAGTCTTTGACCTCGGTGACTTGGAATTTGTCTCTAATAGCCCGTTTAAAGATTTCTAAGCCGATTTTGTACGAACACGCTTGACCAGGAAGAATTCGATACCGGTAGATTTCTGCAGTGATACTTGCTTCACTGGCGGTTAAGTACTGTTTTGCCAATTGAATAACTTCGTCCGGAGTTTGTCCTTCAACGTGTAAGAGAACTTCGGCAATGATTCGAAATGTCCGTAAAACATTCATTTGCAAATAACCAAAATAAACCCACGGATCATCGAACATTGAATCACCTAAATGTTCAGCAAATAAACCCCATCCTTCTACAAATCCGTTGGACGGTGCTTCTGCAATTGCCGTTAAATAATTATGATTTGGTGAATGATAAGAAATGTCAAGTTGCATATGATGTCCGGGAATCGTTTCATGTAAAGTCAAGTTCTCGACTTCATATCGATAATTTCCTTCTGACCAACCCGAAACATTGAGATAAAAGTTATTTTTGTAGTAATAACCACCTGCTAGCAGAGGATTATCCAAAATAGTAATGTGCGGAGGGTTGAACTCTTTGAATTGGTGTTGAGCAATAAAAATTCGTCGATATTTTGATAGACAGAGCTGGTATGTATCGATGATCTCTTGCTTTGATGACCAATGTTGACTTGGATGTTCGCCAACAAGTCTCATTTTTTCAGGAAGTGATTTTGTTTTATCGGAATCGTTTGTTAGTAGACGATCACATGTTCGATTAACTTCATTCATAAGATAATCTAGATGTTTCTGTGCCCATTGCTTAATTTTCATGAAATTATCCGAAGATTTCAATCTTAAACCAGTGTGATATTGGAAAGCAAATTGGTAATACTTCGGATCGAATTCCGATAAACCTTGAGCGGGATGTGTGGACCATTTTGGATCTTTGACCAATTCAGTTAAATAAGATTTCAATCGGACCGTTTCTTGAGCAAATAATTGAAAGTATGTTTTATATTCAGATGAAGTGACATCATCCGATAATGGAGTGAAATCAAGATTGGAAATGAATTTTTCCAAAAGTATTTTATTGTAAAATCGAGAAGTGTTTGAGTCAAGCGTTTGATACAAGTTGATAATATAATCAGTGATAATAGATAGGTAATGTTTGTCACGATAAAGATTGGCAAATGTTGGTTTTGTGATCAGGACTGGATTGGATAAAATAAAATAAATCGAAAGGAAGTAATTGTCAAAATATGTTTGTTCTAATCGATGAAAAAATTCACGGCGGGGATCAGTTTCGAAATCAAAATAAAACTGCTCAATATTGGTTAACTCATGTTTCGATGCGTATTCTTTCAATGCATTGATAAATCGATCAAAGTCACGATACAATTTAAACTTATCAATTGGAGTTATGTCGTTCACATTGGGTTCTAATTCGAATGTTTCTATCAGATATTTATCCATTGAAAGATTCCCGAACCTAAAGGCAAAAAAAGTTAATGCATAACGAGAGCAGATGATTTTGAATCAATATGGTCTTTATTTGTTGTTCGATAAAAAAAGAAGCATTTATTTGTAAACAAACGTGTAACAAAAGAACGGAGAAAAACAAACGGAGTGTCTTAGTTCTTGTTTATTCTTCATCATTCTCAAGATTGATACTTTTGCCAAATTTTCCATATAATTTCACCTTTAAATCACTGAGAACACCTTGAATTGTTTGCATACGCGATTGAATGTCATTGATCTCTGTTTCGATTTTTGTTTTTCGTCCATCTAATGAAGTCAAGATATCTTCAGTTGGCTCAATAAGAAATGTTTCTCCAACAAGTAATGGCGCCGTGGGAATATCAGATAGAACAGCTAATTCATCAAGAGCTTCGCGAGCATCCGACAAAGATGTTAATTCTTTTCGTTTAGCTTCGATTTCTTCTTTCAATTCGGTTAATTTTGCATTATTACGTGCGAATTTGTTGATATTCTGTTGATCAGCATATTCAACATGAACTTCCACATCTTTAGTTGTCGACGACATGGTTTACTAAATAGTTACTACTGGAATCAACTAATGTAACATCAACTGATTTACAATTGGCTGAGCTCGATTGAACCAATAGGACTCGCCGAGGTCCATCAAGGCGACATCTGAGTATTTACAAGTTATTTTGTATTCTGAGAACGTATAGAAAGGTTCGTTCTCTGAATATTTTTCGTAGAAAATTCTAAAGATCAGTTTACATATTGTACCATGAGATGTTGATAAGCGACAAGCGTATTTTGATGGTGGTCGTTACCCTCGTCGTCTTTATATGTTTTTCTGTTCTCTTCGTTTTCGTTGCCACTGCACCTTTATATAATTTATCCTCCCGTCGATTTTAATCGACATGACATGGTAGAGTGATAAATGAATGTATTGGAGTCATTCTTTTCTTTTTGATAAAGTGGTGCCATACTGTTGTGTTTCATTCTCTCGAGTGCTAATGAGAAAAATAACTAGAGCTCAGTGCAAAGAAAGGAAACGACTTTCCGCAGGATATCTTCTCCAAAGATTTCATCAGTTGTGTTTATCCAATGAGAAGATTAGTTAGAATTACAGGTAAATATCAGGATATAAGATTCTGTTCCTTTGTCATTTCAGATCTCTACTGAACAAAGAAAATGTCAGCAAAAATCGGTAAACCAGCACCAGATTTCAAGACTACTGCTGTCATTGATGGAAACTTCAAAGATGTTGCATTAAAAGATTATAAGGGCAAATATGTTGTACTCTTCTTCTATCCATTGGATTTTACATTCGTTTGTCCAACAGGTAATTTGATTTGGTTATCGAAAGAAATCGATTGGAAAGATAAGACATAATCTCGATTTTATTTTTAGAAATCATCTCATTTAGCGATCGTATCGAAGAATTTCGTCAAATTAATTGCGAAGTTTTAGCTTGTTCAACCGATTCTCATTTTAGTCATTTAGCATGGTAATAATTCAAATTTCAAATTCTCTCATCGTTAAATATCATGGAAATTCTAGGGTTAATACAAGTCGAAAACAAGGTGGCTTGGGAAAAATGAATATTCCATTACTTGCCGATAAGAACTTGGAGATTTCGAGTAAGCTTCACATTTCTCTATCTTTCCCTCTCTGTGAAATGTTTAGTTTATGATCTTAAGTGAAATATGGTGTTCTCAAGGACGATGAAGGTATTGCATTTCGTGGTTTATTTATCATCGATACCCATGGAACTCTTCGACAAATAACAATTAATGATTTACCGGTTGGTCGTTCAGTTGATGAAACACTTCGATTAGTCCAAGCTTTCCAATTTACAGATAAACATGGTGAAGGTATAGAACTCTTCTTTCATGGAATTTGAAACTGCATTTCTTCTTGTTTTTCTTTCTTAGTATGTCCAGCGAACTGGAAACCCGGTAAGAAAACGATCAATCCTGATGTATCAAAATCGAAAGAATATTTCGAACATGCTAATTAAATCATATAATTAATCTCGATTGGATTTTACTTTTTTCTCTCTTCCCATTTGTGTCCCGGTATTTATCTTGTCTTCATTTATTCAACGAGCAAATATATTATTGAACAAATTAACGGATGTTGTCTCTTTATTTTATGAACACGTCTTTTTTTGCCTCTGCAGATGTTTGCACACTGCAGGAAGAAGAAATTGATAAACGAGATTTGAAATAAAACCTTCGGCGTCTAATTGAGTGCATCTAAAAATAAGAAAAGATGAAGATTTGTGAAATAAGAAAGTATTTACGAAGGATTTGTTGTTAACTCGATAAGATTTTCAGTTAATCGTTGAATGTCTAATCTTGCCTGTTCATCCGCAGTGTCGGAAATCGATTGAAGAATAAGATCTCGAACGTATGTTTCGATGTCAATATCCGAACTGAGGGAAAATACTTGTTGGAAAATCTCATTTTCTAGTTTTTGTCGTTGGATCGTTTGCCGACGAATGTTAGTCTCTTGTTTTTCTCTTTCATATCGCTGTCGATCAGCGAGAATGATAAACAGATGAATCGTTTGTTCCCACTGCAGACGAAGTAATTCTTTCGAGAGAAAATCCAACATATCACCAATGGTGGCACTTTCAACATAATCATAAATCTGTGTTTCAATATCGTCTTTATTCAGATCAATCGATGATATTCTTCGATGTGGATTTCGTAATTCTTCCAATAAATCTTTCCGGATATGTTGAACATTCGCGATCTAAGAACATTCCTATGTAATGTCAGGAAGTCAACGGATAAACTACTTTAGATTGAGTAGTGATAGTACGAAGATAATTTTGAAATTTGATCAGAGCGAGGCGACGATGATCTTGTTCCTAAGAATAGACAAATATCATCGAATGATTTGTAATTGTGAGAAAGACTTCGATTGAAAGCGAAGTAGAATGCAATTGTTGAAAATGAGCGACAGATTCGATTTTTTCCACGAAACGAAGTGGTCTTTGTTCAGAAAGTGATGATTGGTTACTTTTTCCTTGTTGAATTAACTACAAAGATTTTCATTGATATTTCAATATACAAACGAGTTTGTACTTGATAGGCTTTATCGAGATTTTCAATTCGACGTTGCAAACGTCTATTCTTAGATGCTGTTAATAGACTCTTTTGATTAATTTTGGTAGTAAAAGCATTTTTAGGTAAAAAATCTTCGAACTGCAAAACATTCATTCCTATTTGTCGCATTCGTCGATCAATAAAATGATCGAATTGAGGACACCAAATATTGCTCTTCAAATTAGTTATCATATCATTTGATCGCGTATGCCATGGCGGTTTTAATGATATATAACAATTATTATCACATTTGATCAAGCCGACAGCTCCCAAATGATTGTAACTAGTTAATGAATTTATATGTGTTTCTCGTAATTGATACCAACGTTTCATCCGACGAATATCTATGAATGATTTGTGTCTATCTTGTTTGATGATTTTGTTTGTTTTACCTCGAGATGTTTGAATTTCTAATCGTTGATGTTTTTGTTTTAATTGTTTCTCCTCACGGTAGACAAATAAATCAACAAAGTTTTGTGTTAGCTCTTCATCATTTCGAATATAAGTTTCAAGGTTTTTCTCGAATAATTTCTGACGTTTATCTTGTAATCTAAATCAATAGTGATAAAAACGTAAAACAATGACCTCGGCAAAAGTGATACAATTTGATTTCTTTCTCACGCATTTGCCATTCTCGTATTTCTCTTTCAATAACGATTTGCATTCGTGTTACATCAAATGTTCGATCTTGTTCCCATTGACGTCGAGCACGTAATCGTTCAATAAAAGAAATCTCCAGCAATGTCGCCGGTAAACCTTTACCATATATAAAATCCGAAAGATCAAACACTTCCGGATGTTCGCCATGCGATACTGTGTACGCCGGCGAATAAGGATCTGTTTGGCTTGATTCCTCACGATAATCGGTTTGTAAACAAACATGCCGGAACGATTTTATCAACTCTTTAGTGGATAATAATTTCGAATCTTTTGGAAAGTCAGAATTTCTAAAATTAGAAAAAAAAAAGAGAAAGTGTTCTGTGCAGGTGTCGAACCTGCGACCTTCTGCGTGTTAAGCAGATGTGATAACCGCTACACCAACAGAACCACATCCTAACTTCGAATCGCTTATCAGTCATTTCGAATCTGATCGATTTCCACAGAAAATATACTTCATAAAAAACCATATCGGTTTTTTTACATGAAATTAAACTTATAATTGGAAGACGAAAGAAAGACTTCGTATGTTCGATTTGAATTTCAAATTTTGAACTTCAGAAGAACAAAAAAAGAGAAATGTTCTGTGCAGGTGTCGAACCTGCGACCTTCTGCGTGTTAAGCAGATGTGATAACCGCTACACCAACAGAACGATACTATCGATAATCCTACTCTCTAGTAATCCATTCCTTATCTCGAATGCACTTCTTCTTACTTATAATAGTCATTAATCATAAAAATCGATCGTGTCTTATCTGACGTTCGAGATAAGTTCGGTACATCGGCGTACTTCTTTCTTTGATAACAACTAAATTCAATAAAACTATGATTTGTAAAAAACACTCGTATTCTCCTACGAGAAATCCGATCTTTGGTACAAAGGTGAAGAACAGGATAAGATCACTTGATTGGAATTGTTAAAACAAGAAGGCACATGATTAGTGTCCAACATTTGAAATCAATTGATACGTTAGTTTTGGCGCTAACGAAGGTTTCGTATTATAATATAAACAGTTAATTATTCTGTGATTTTCATATCAAATATGTGATATAATATAGCATTCGTTATTCTATAACCTCGAATAAACATATCTTCTAACAATACACTTCATTATTTATGCTAATAATCAACAAATATTAAATGAAGAATGATGATGACATTTAGATGAGATTATCTTGAGTTTGTCTTGAGAAAAAAAAGATAAAAAGCCATCTCATATCTGTGAAATTTCATTTCGATAGTATAAACGTGTCACTGAATATCCAAACTCATAAATTCGATCAAGTATGTATGTTATTGTTTTCTCAGATACAGAATGACGTTGAAACTATTTCTCTTTCCCTGTACAGATAAGAAAAAGTAATATTGCTTGGTTTTCTCTCTCCTGACAATACTTTTAATAACCAACAAACAGGAAAATTGCTCGTTTTGCTTCGCTGATTTGTTTTTTTTTTATTGGTAAGGAGCCATTTTTAATAGGATAGAATTCATACTTCAAAACCTTTCCAGCTACCTGTATATTGATTAGTTCGAAAATAATTCAAGCATCATTAACATTGATTGACGAAATTTTTAACATAAATTAGTAATGCATCATTTCATTTTCTAGAATGTCTTTTACGCGAAATAAATTTCCGAAATCGTTCATATTTTCTTATTTATCATAAACCCTGATTCGATTTATTAGTGATATTCACACCGATAGGGTTGATCAATCAAACGAATTTCTCGCTTATTAACACTGACAGTTGTGCTTAATCAAAACTAAAACGAAAAGTCGATAGACGCGAAGCGACCTCTCGTTTCGTTTTCGTTTCTATATCCAAATGATTGGTCAATCGAAAAAAATCGTCAATGTATAGAAAAATGTACACTGTCGATGTATCAAATTGAACTGACTCACATACTTTTGTTATTTTTTTCTTCAACCACTCAAATGAATCACTCAATCATTCTGAAAGCATAAGACGAACATCTGTTGCGATTCATCAAAAAACGATTCCTCTTAGAACTTTGTCGTCGTCAACATGACACAACGTTTAACATCAATTACAGGTAAATTCATTGATTTCTTCGAAGAAAAATATCAATCATCGTTCGTAATTGATCGTTGAATTTTTTCACACGGAGACGATTAGACGAACAATTACACGTGTATAAGAATGTGTTTTTCTTTTGACTAATTCTTCTGTCCATTTTCGATGAACTATTGTTCGAAAACACGCCAATAGTTTAGTATTACTTATATTGAATGAACAAAGGATCAGTCTCAAAGCGCGTTAAACCTCTTCTTTATTTCTTCTTTCTTCTTCGTCTTCTTCTTCTTCTTCGTTTCTTTTTTTTTTCATAATTGATGATGCATCTCTTACTCTCTTCTTTTTTTATCGACACTCACTCNGACATCGATGTTTGCAATGCAAGTCCAAAGTGAGATCTCAACAAAACAATATTTGAAGGAAAACACGAATCGTTGATTGTTTTAGTGCTTCTATTCAGCGAATCAGTCATATCATCACAAGTACACCACATCGAGCGAGCAAAGCACGAGTGAACTTTCATTCAGTTGAATCGTTAGCTATCTCATCTTCAGTGAATACCTCTTCTTCCTTTTCCCTTCAATCACATGGTAAGTCACCTTTTTAATAAAGAAAGATCGTTGATTTCAATCAAGTCCGTGAGTAACATGCTTAATTCCAGTTTGATCACATTTCATCTTGACGAACCGTTAACATCTATTTCTCGTTTAGATGATACTGGTTACAATTCACTGAACTCATCTGCATCGATCAATGAACATCAGTCAATGACGGCGTCAACTAATGAAAGAAAGGTATGTGTAATGGATTGACGTGATGGAGTGATTGATTTGTTTGTTTTTAGTCACGTCGAAAGTTAAGTGACTGGCAAATCTGGCACCTTCGTCAAGTTTACTCAACAAATCGATATCCAACGCCATGTGAACAAGAACAGCTGGCTCAACAACTTCTACTGCCTATATCATCGATCCGTATTTGGTTTCAGAACTATCGTGCACGATCTGGAAGAAACTTGTAACTAGACTTTTCGTATTTTTCTGTGTGTAGTTGCTTTATTTTTTATGAGTAAAATAAATGATCTCTAGTCAAATGTCCATGTTATTTGATTTTCGAGCAGGAAAACATCGAGCGGTCGTTCTGTTTGCCATAAAACATCTTTGTACCATGCTAACAGATCCGATCTAAGAAAGTCTTTGACCTCAGTGACTTGGAATTTGTCTCTGATAGCCCGTTTAAAGATTTCTAAGCCGATTTTGTACGAACATGCTTGACCAGGAAGAATTCGATACCGGTAGATTTCTGCAGTGATACTTGCTTCACTGGCGGTTAAGTACTGTTTTGCCAACTGAATAACTTCATCCGGAGCTTGTCCTTCAACGTGTAAGAGAACTTCGGCAATGATTCGAAATGTTCGTAAAATATTCATTTGCAAATAACCAAAATAAACCCACGGATCATCGAACATTGAATCACCTAAATGTTCAGCGAATAAACCCCATCCTTCTACAAATCCGTTGCATGGTGCTTCTGCAATTGCCGTTAAATAATTATGATTTGGTGAATGATAAGAAATATCAAGTTGCATATGATGTCCGGGAATTGTTTCATGTAAAGTCAAGTTCTCGACTTCATATCGATAATTTCCTTCTGACCAACCCGAAACATTGAGATAAAAGTTATCCTTGTAGTAATAACCACCTGCTAGCAGAGGATTATCCAAAATAGTAATGTGCGGAGGGTTGAACTCTTTGAACTGGTTTTGAGCAATAAAAATTCGTCGATATTTTGATAGACAGAGCTGGTATGTATCGATGATCTCTTGTTTTGATGACCAACGTTGACTTGGATGTTCGCCAACAAGTCTCATTTTTTCAGGAAGTGATTTTGTTTTATCGGAATCGTTTGTTAGTAGACGATCACATGTTCGATTAACTTCATTCATAAGATAATCTAGATGTTTCTGTGCCCATTGCTTAATTTTCATGAAATTATCCGAAGATTTCAATCTTAAACCAGTGTGATATTGAAAAGCAAATTGGTAATATTTCGGATCGAATTCCGATAAGCCTTGAGCGGGATGTGTGGACCATTTTGGATCTTTGACCAATTCAGTTAAATAAGATTTCAGTCGGGACGTTTCTTGAGCAAATAATTGAAAGTATGTTTTATATTCAGATGAAGTAACGTCATCCGATAATGGAGTGAAATCAAGATTGGAAATGAATTTTTCCAGAAGTATTTTATTGTAAAATCGAGAAGTGTTTGAATCAAGCGTTTGATACAAGTTGATAATATAATCAGTGATAATAGGTAGGTAATGTTTGTCACGATAAAGATTGGCGAATGTTGGTTTTGTGATCAGCACTGGATTAGACAAAATAAAATAAATCGAAAGAAAGTAATTGTCAAAATATGTTTGTTCTAATCGATGGAAAAATTCACGGCGGGGATCAGTTTCGAAATCAAAATAAAACTGCTCAATATTGGTTAACTCATTTTTCGATGCGTATTCTTTCAACGCATTGATAAATCGATCAAAGTCACGATACAATTTAAACTTATCAATTGGAGTTATGTCGTTCACATTGGCTTCTAAATCGAATATTTCTATTAGATATTTATCCATTGAAAGATTCCCGAATCTAAAGACAAAAAGAGTTAATGCATAACGAGAGCAGATGATTTTAAATCAATATGGCCTTTATTTGTTGTTCGATAAAAAAAAGAAGCATTTATTTGTAAACAAACGTGTAACAAAAGAACGGAGAAAAACAAGCGGAGCGTCTTAGTTCTTGTTTATTCTTCATCATTCTCGAGATTGATACTTTTGCCAAATTTTCCATATAATTTCACCTTTAAATCACTGAGAACACCTTGAATTGTTTGCATACGCGATTGAATGTCATCGATCTCTGCTTCGATTTTTGTTTTTCGTCCATCTAACGAAGTCAAGATATCTTCAGTTGGCTCAATAAGAAATGTTTCTCCAACAAGTAATGGCGCCGTGGGAATATCAGATAGAATAGCTAATTCATCAAGAGCTTCACGAGCATCCGACAAGGATGTTAATTCTTTTCGTTTAGTTTCGATTTCTTCTTTCAATTCGGTTAATTTTGCATTATTGCGTGCGAATTTGTTGATATTCTGTTGATCAGCATATTCAACATGAACTTCCACATCTTTAGTTGTCGACGACATGATTTACTTAATAGTTACTACTGGAATCAACTAATGTATGTAACATCAACTGATTTACAATTGGCTGAGCTCGATTGAACCAATAGGACTCGCCGCGGTCCATCAAGGCGACATCTGAGTATTTACAAGTTATTTTGTGTTCTGAGAACGTATAGAAAGGTTCGTTCTCTGAATATTTTTCATAAAAAATTCTAAAGATCAGATTACATGTTGCACTATGAGATGTTGATAAGCGACAAGTGTATTTTGATGGTGGTCGTTACCCTCGTCGCCTTTATATGTTTTTCTGTTCTCTTCGTTTTCGTTGCCACTGCACCTTTATATAACTTATCCTCCCGTCGACTTTAGTCGACATGACATAGCAGAATGATAAATGAATGTATTGGAGTGATTCTTTTCTTTTTTGATAAGGTGGTGCCATACTGTTGTGTTTCATTCTCTCGAATGCCAAAGAGAAAACTAATTAGAGCTCAGTGCAAAGAAAGGAAACGACTCCCCGCAGGATATCTTCTTCAAAGATTTCATCAGTTGCGTTTATCTAATGAGAAAATTAGTTAGAATTAAAGGTAAATATTAGGATATAAGATTCTGTTCCTTTGTCATTTCAGATCTCTACTGAACAAAGAAAATGTCAGCAAAAATCGGTAAACCAGCACCAGATTTCAAGACTACTGCTGTCATTGACGGAAACTTCAAAGATGTTGCATTGAAAGATTATAAGGGCAAATATGTTGTACTCTTCTTCTATCCATTGGATTTTACATTCGTTTGTCCAACAGGTAATTTGATTTGATTATCGAAAGAAATCGATTGGAAAGATAAGACATAATCTCGATTTTATTTTTAGAAATCATCTCGTTTAGCGATCGTATCGAAGAATTTCGTCAAATTAATTGCGAAGTTTTAGCTTGTTCAACTGATTCTCATTTTAGTCATTTAGCATGGTAATGATTCAAATTTCAAATTCTCTCATCGTTAAATATCATGGAAATTCTAGGGTTAATACAAGTCGAAAACAAGGTGGCTTGGGAAAGATGAATATTCCATTACTTGCCGACAAGAACTTAGAAATTTCGAGTAAGCTGCACATTTCTTTATTTTTCCCTCTCTGTGAAAAGTTTAGTTTATGATCTTAAGTGAAATATGGTGTTCTCAAGGACGATGAAGGTATTGCATTTCGTGGTTTATTTATCATCGATACTCACGGAACTCTTCGACAAATAACAATTAATGATTTACCGGTTGGTCGTTCAGTTGATGAAACACTTCGATTAGTTCAAGCTTTCCAATTTACAGATAAACATGGTGAAGGTATAGAACTCTTCTTCCTCGGAGTTTGAAACTGCATTTCTTCTTGTTTTTCTTTCTTAGTATGTCCAGCGAACTGGAAACCCGGAAAGAAAACGATCAATCCTGATGTTTCAAAATCGAAAGAATATTTCGAACATGCTAATTAAATCATATAATTAATCTCGATTGAATTTCACTTTTTTCTCTCTTCCCATTTGTGTCCCGGTATTTATCTTGTCTCCATTTATTCAACGAGCAAATATATTATTGAACAAATTAACAGATGTCGTCTCTTTATTCTATGAACACGTCTTGTCTTGTCTCTGCAGATGTTTGCACACTGCAGGAAGAAGAAATTGATGAACGAGATTTGAAATAAAACCTTCGGCGTCTAATTGAGTGCATCTAAAAATAAGAAAAGATGAAGATCTGTGAAATAAGAAAGTATTTACGAAGGATTTGTTGTTAAGTCGATAAGGTTTTCAGTTAATTGTTGGATGTCTAATCTTGCCTGTTCATCCGCGGTGTCGGAAATCGATTGAAGAATAAGATCTCGGACGTATGTTTCGATGTCAATATCCGAACTGAGCGAAAACACTTGTTGGAAAATCTCATTTTCTAGTTTTTGCCTTTGTATCGTTTGCCGACGAATGCTAGTCTCTTGTTTTTCTCTTTGATATCGCTGTCGATCAGCGAGAATGATAAACAGATGAATCGTTTGTTCCCACTGCAGGCGAAGTAATTCTTTCGAGAGAAAATCCAACATATCACCAATGGTGACACTTTCGACATAATCATAAATCTGTGTTTCAATATCGTCTTTATTCAAATCAATTGATGATATTCTTCGATGTGGATTTCGTAATTCTTCCAATAAATCTTTTCGGATATGTTGAACATTCGCGATCTAGGAGCATTCCTATGTAATGTCAGGAAGTCAATGGATAAACTACTTTAGATTGAGTAGTGATAGTGCGAAGATAATTTTGAAATTTGATTAGAGCGAGGCGACGATGATCTTGTTCCTAAGAATAGACAAATATCATCGAATGATTTGTAATTGTGAGAAAGACTTCGATTGAAAGTGAAGTAGAATGTGATTGTTGAAGATGAGCGATAGATTCGATTTTTTTCACGAAACGAAGTGGTCTTTGTTCAGAAAGTGATGATTGGTTACTTTTTCCTTGTTGAATTAACTACAAAGATTTTCATTGATATTTCAATATACAAACGAGTTTGTACTTGATAGGCTTTGTCGAGATTTTCAATCCGACGTTGCAAACGTCTATTCTTAGATGCTGTTAATAGACTCTTTTGATTAATTTTGGTAGTAAAAGCATTTTTAGGCAAAAAATCTTCGAACTGCAAAACATTCATTCCTATTTGTCGCATTCGTCGATCAATAAAATGATCGAATTGAGGACACCAAATATTGCTCTTCAAATTAGTTATCATATCATTCGATCGCGTATGCCATGGCGGTTTTAATGATATATAACAATTATTATCACATTTGATCAAGCCGATAGCTCCGAAATGATTGTAACTAGTTAACGAATTTATATGTGTTTCACGTAATTGATACCAACGTTTCATCCGACGAATATCTATGAATGATTTGTATGTATCTTGTTTGATGACTTTGCTTGTTTTACCTCGAGATGTTTGAATTTCTAATCGCTGATGTTTTTGTTTTAATTGCTTCTCCTCACGGTAGACAAATAAATCAACAAAGTTTTGTGTTAGTTCTTCATCATTGTGAATATAAGTTTCAAGGTTTTTCTCGAATAATTTCTGACGTTTATCTTGTAATCTAAATCAGTAGTGATAAAAACGTAAAACAATGGCCTCGGCAAAAGTGATACAATTTGATTTCTTTCTCACGCATTTGCCATTCTCGCATTTCTCTTTCAATAACGATTTGCATTCGTGCTTCATCAAATGTTCGATCTTGTTCCCATTGACGTCGAGCACGTAATCGTTCAATAAAAGAAATCTCCAGCAATGTCGCCGGTAGACCTTTTCCATATATAAAATCCGAAAGATCAAACACTTCCGGATGTTCGCCATGCGATACTGTATACGCCGGCGAATAAGGATCTGTTTGACTTGATTCTTCACGATAATCGGTTTGTAAACAAACATGCCGGAACGATTTTATCGGAACTTTAGTGGATAATAATTTCGAATTTTTTGGAAAATCAGTGGTTCTAAAATTAGAAGAAAAAAAAAAGAGAAAGTGTTCTGTGCAGGTGTCGAACCTGCGACCTTCTGCGTGTTAAGCAGATGTGATAACCGCTACACCAACAGAACCACATCCTAACTTCGAATCGCTTATCAGTCATTTCGAATTTGATCGATTTCCACAGAAAATATACTTCGTCAAAAAAACCATGTCGGTTTTTTTTACATGAAATTAAACTTATAATTCGGAAGACGAAAGAAAGATTTCGCACGTTCGATTTGTATTTCAGATTTTGAACTTCAGAAGAAAAAAAAGAGAAATGTTCTGTGCAGGTGTCGAACCTGCGACCTTCTGCGTGTTAAGCAGATGTGATAACCGCTACACCAACAGAACGATACTATCGATAATCTTACTCTCTAGTAATTCATTCCTTATCTCGAGTGCACTTCTTCTTACTTATAATAGTCATTAATCATAAAAATCGATCGTGTCTTCTCTGACATTCGAGATAAGTTCGGTACATCGGCGTACTTCTTTCTTTGATAACGACTAAATTCAATAAAACTATGATTTGTAAAAAACACTCGTATCCCCTTACGAGAAATCCGATCTTTGACACAAAGGTGAAGAACAGGATAAGGTCGTTTGATTGGAATTGTTAAGACAAGAAGGTACATGATTAGTGTCCAACATTTGAAATCAATGGATACGTTAGTTTTGGCGCTATCGAAGGCTTTGTATTATAATATAAACAGTTAATTATTCTGTGATTTTCATATCAAATATGTGATATAATATAACATTCGTTATTCTATAACCTCGAATAAACATATCTTCTAACAATACACTTCATTATTTATGCTAATAATCAACAAATATTAAACGAAGAATGATGATGACATTTAGATGAGATTATGTTGAGTTTGTCTTGAGGAAAAAAGATAAAAAGCCATGTCATATCTGTGAAATTTCATTTCGGTAGTTATAAACGTGTCACTGGATATCCAAACTCATAAATTCGATCAAGTATGTATATTATTGTTTTCTCAGATACAGAATGACGTTGAAACTAAATTCTCTTTCCCTGTACAAATAAGAAAAAATAATCTTGCTTGGCTTTTTCTCTCCTGACAATACTTTTAATAATCACCAAATAGGAAAATTGCTCGTTTTGCTTCGCTGATTTGTTTTTTTGTTAGTAAGAAGCCTTTTCTTTTAATAGGATAAATTTCGTACATCAAAACCTTTGCAGCCACCTGCACATTGATCAGTTCGAAAATAATTCGAGCATCATTAACATTAATTGACGAAATTTTTAGCATAAATTAGTAATGCATCATTTCATTTTCTAGAATGTCTTTTACGTGGACTAAATGTCTGAAATCGGTCATATTTTCTTATTTATCATAAACCCTGATTCGACTCATTAGTGATATTCACACCGATAGGATTGATCAATCAACGAATTTCTCGCTTATTAACACTGACAGTTGTGCTTAATCAAAACTAAAACGAAAAGTCGATAGACGCGAAGCGACCTCTCGTTTCGTTTTCGTTTCTATATCAAACTGATTGGTCAATCGAAAAAATCGTCAATGTATAGAAAAATGTACGTTGTCGATGTATCAAATTGAACTGACTCACATACTTTTGTTATTTTTTCTTCAACCACTCAAATGAATCACTCAATCATTCTGAAAGAATAAGACGAACATCTGTTGCGATTCATCAAAAAACGATTCTTCGTAGAACTTTGTCGTCGTCAACATGACACAACGTTTAACATCAATTACAGGTAAATTCATTGATTTCTTCGAAGAAAAATATCAATCATTGTTCGTAATTGATCGTTGAATTTTTTCACACGGAGACGATTAGACGAATAACTACATGTGTATAAGAATGTGTTTTTCTTTTAACGAACGCTTCTGTCCGGTTTCGATGAACTATTGTTCGAAAACACGCCAATAGTTTAGTATTACTTATATTGAATGAACAAAGGATCAGTCTCAAAGCGCGTTAAACCTCTTCTTTATTTCTTCTTTCTTCTTCTTCTTCTTCTTCGTTTCTTTTTTTGTAATTGATGATGCATCTCTTACTCTCTTCTTTTTTATCGACACTCACAGTTTATTTCTTCTCTTTTTCGCACTTTCTCCCTCTCCCTCTTTCTTCGCTGGCGTTTGAAATAGCTTGTTGTGTATGTCATACACTCGCACTATTCGCACACGACACTCTTATTTCTCTTACTACATACAGTGATTGCACGCTCGCCACCCGTACAAGGTCGAGTATATTCAAGTGTATACACTAACAGCGATGGTTTGGTAATTTCTTCCTGTTCTGCGTTGTCATACATACATCTCTACATCAATTTCATTTAAAACTCACGTTTCGGGGAACATAGATGCTCTCTTTAAGGATACCTTGACAGTGATAATTTAAAATTCAATTGTCATCAATATGATAGACAACGTCAATTGGCAGTTAAATGAGAAAAATGAACCTCAACAAGGTAAGTCAAAATCCAATCTGCACGCCCTTTTTTCTTATTAACATTAGAATACTTTTGAACAATGATCGATGGGATGACGATGTCTCAAGTTGGATAAATAAACGATCGAACGCAAGAAGAGAAAGAATCTAGAGAGAAAGGAAAAGACATTGGCATATAGATGTTTTTTTTTATCCGAAATAATATAACAGTTTAGCGGAGAAGAACAGAATTATAAGAACATGTATATACTTGACATTAGATTACTAATGGATTAGTTGGTAACAGACAGTCGTCTCTTGATAATTCTCGATGTAATAAGATTAATAGAAGTGAAAAAGAAAGAGAAAATAGCGCTGGTAAACGTTAGGAAAAGTCTTTAGTCTTCCGATGACGTAAAGTTGAACAGCTGACGCTTCGAGTGCTAATGTAATGTCAAACATATTTGCTTGATTATTTAGGAGAAGTATTATCTCATCAGTCATTTGTTGAACTTGACGAGTTATTTCAATCAACAAAAAGATCGTCGCAGATTAGATTTCAAAGCAAGAGTCTTGACGATTTACAATTACATCGGCAAGCTCGTCGAAAACAATTTCATGATCATCACGTCTCCGATACAGCACGAACAGAAATGGATTTAACTGGTATTGGATGTCAAGACGAGGATCAATTGGACATGAATGAAGATGACGAAGACGACGACGATGATGATCATGATGATAATTCTCAGCCACAACGAAGTCGCTCGGCCCCTGTGTCTCCAACACAAGTCTACGATGCTGAATTAGCTGCGTTTCTTCAATGTGAACAACAACAACAACAACTAATGGCTGATTGTTTTGTTTATAACATGGATCTTTCTGATGCAAACGAAAATTCCACTCAACAATCGCATTCTCGAACAGCCATATTCTTCGTAAGTTTTCCTTAGCGACTGTCTTTGAACAACTGAGCAATCGTAATGAGATGAAACCTGTCGAAAGACAAGATTGAATTCCGATTGCTTATGTCTTCGTATTCGACAAAGAAAGAAATCGACAAAGTCTGAATTCATTTCTTTTTACTCTTTTTTCGTTGTTAGGATGATGATTATTCCTTCGAAGAAACGTCTTATGAACCAATTGTGAATATCGTTCATTCGTGTTTGCCAATTACTGAAGAAAACGAAGAAGAACTCGAACAATTACGACGTGATGATGATGAAGAAGAACAAAAAATTCGAAATCATTTATTAAAAATAAATGATGGGTCAATACCAACTATAACATTACATGATAACGATGATCGAGCTGATATACTTGAGAATGATGATGATCAGATAAACGATAGTGAAGCTGATGTTATAATTATGAATACTCCTAATAATTTCGATTCCAATCAAGATATTGAAAAACGTCTTTCAACTATTTATGAATCTCCCAGTCCACAACCTCGAACAGAAGAAGATGGTGACGAAGACATCTACGATGAAGCATATGATAAATTGATAGTATATGATATAGCTCATATCGAGAAAGTAAGAAGACGAAAGATTTTATCGAGTAAAGAAAGAGAAAACTTTCGACATATTATTATTTTAGCCGACTATTATCAGTCCGAAATCTGAGCCCATTAAATCACCGTGTTCATCGTATCGATCGCCAACTATTGATCGAACTCGTATACGTTCATGCTATACCGATGCATCATTCAAACCCTGTTCAGTTTTTACGAATACCGTGTCAGCTTCTCGTCTATGCGGAACATCTTCGATCATTAATTCGAAAGTTTTCACTCCTCCGATGAATAATGCCAATGGAAAAACGTCTCTGTCGCCGGTGAGCAACACACAGAGTTGTTATGTTAACAAATCCCTTGCTTCTCTCCCAATCGATCAACAATCTCCACCAAAAACCACTCCGATGTCATTATCAGTTCCAATCTTACTTCTACCAAGCACAAACGAACAAAGTACATGCATGATTGATAATAACAAATTAATGCCATCTCAGCATATCAAAACAATGAAAGTAATTCAATCAACGTCATCAAGTCTATCGGATTTTATCAATTCGACACCAGCATCGGCTTTAAATAATACAAGTAAAGAGATTGATTGATTTTTTGCTTCTTTCGCAAATGTCAATAATATGCTTGACTTGCTTTCTTTTCAGTACATTATGAAGAAGTTGGAAGTATTCATCATTCGTTAACCGATTGTTCAATTACTCCGCATATACCATGTTGTATTCCAAGTGTTGATCATGAATCGTCGACAATAAATAAATCAAATGAAGAAAGTCAACGACGGCCATCATTTACTCGACGAATTCTTACCAATGGGTTATTATTATCTCATTGTTCGAACCAACGACGTGCACAACCACCTTTGACATTCAACAACCAACATCGCTATCAAACTAAACCAAAAAGTGAAGAGAAATTATCAACATTGTCATCACCGATTGGTTCATCGTCCTCATCTTCGGAATCCAATTCGCCATCAGGTGAAAAATTCATGTCTAGATCTGATTTTATTCTTCAACAACAACAACAGCAGCAACAACAACAACAACAGAATATCTCTCAACAACGTAAAGCTTCTAGTCTTAAAACCATCTCTGCCACGGCTGCACAACAGCCATCGAAAATTCTCTATCCAATCGACTTCGAAACCAATAACAATGATCAATCTTGGTACCAAAAACAATCATCTCTATCCTCGACATCAACACATCAAAGCAAGGTTCCCACGTCCGATTCGGGTATTGTCATAGATACGAATGTTACTCGACCAACATCGAATGCGAGTATCGAAGAAGTAAGACATATCTTTTGTTTACTCATTGAATCAGAACATGTGCACAGACAAAGTCATATTCGACTGTTTTGATCTTGTTCTTTTCCGCCAACAGGCTCGTCATGTTTTCCCACGATTAATATTCGATTCACTAATTGAACTACTTCAGCTATCTGTTGGACATCGCAGATGTGAATGTCCGACAAGACATATAGAAAGAAGAGGAAGAGAAAATAGAATACGCCCTTGGTAGCTTGTTTCACACGTATAGACATTGTTTGACCGTTTGTCCTCTATTTCTTTATCAACGCTTTTTTTTCTTCTTCTCACATACTTGTCCGATGACCGCTGAAGTGGATGATTGTTATTTAGAATGATGCTGATGGTATTCCTATTGATCTAACGAACAGTGGCAAATTAAAACAATACGAAAGTAACTATCGAAAGACATTAGCTGATTTAACTATTATCAAGAAGAATATTGTTGATATTGAAAGTCGTCTCAGTGAAGCCATGCGAGAGGTAAGATAATAACCATTTTCTTTTCTAAATAACAAAAGTTAGTTATTCTTGTTTAATTGCCTCCTCAGGATAAATACAAATCTGTTGCATATGTAAATTTATTTTCTGACTGACTGAAACAAGTGTCTGATTGCGGTTTTTCTCCCTTTTCAAATCCATCTGTTGTCAAATCGCGGTTACTTTTTATACTCATTTACAATTCACCTCTATCTTTTATGAGTTGAAGAATGAGAAAGAGAAATGATTACGTATGCAAGTATCATTGATAGTTCGGACATCGATACATACGCAAAGCAAAAGAGAAGGAAGAAAACTAATGATGAACAGTGCTGCTGTCTGTCTGTTTCCTGTTGTTATTACATTCGATGACGATATGAATAATGATATCGATGACTGTTCTTCTTCCATCTTTTCCTTTTCCAATGTTACTCATATTATTCCGATATGTGCAAGTGATACCCATCTTCTCATTGACGAGAAAACTTCTGATGTTTAATCTTTCGAGATATTTTCTTTTCAAGACCAGACTGTATCGGTAGACAGTTATTTACAATGTCAATTAGTTCGAATAGAAGTTCTCTTGAAGTTCTCGTTTGTTTATTTTCATTCTTCGAATTTGTCTCGCAGTTGTTCTCTTTCCCACCGTGAAAATCGAAAAAAATATAAGGCAATTACCAGTAAATGCTCATTTTCTTTCAAGATCATTCGACATTTACAGGTTTGCTTGCTTTCTCCTCTCGTCTATCTCATCTAATTTATTGTTCGTGTATGTGTGTATTCAGATGAGAATAAACATCTTGTAACCAGATGTGCATGGCATCTTCTTTTCACCTGTTCATTTCTTTTAGTTGGAAATCGAACGTGCTTTAGTCGAAGGTGAACACGAATTGGTCTTCAAGCAAATTTTAGACGACAGCGAAAGTGACCAAGAAAAAATCCGACATTTATATAATGATTTACAGTTACTAACCGAACGTATTATGTCCGAAAAAGCATCTGTAAGACGGTTTTATCTTTTCTCTCGATGTATCAATGTCAAGATTGTTTTTCTTGCAGATTCGTAATGAAATTGAATATACACAACAGATACTGTATAAACTTGAATATGAATTACGTGAACTCGAAGAACAATATCGCCCGTCGGATGATAAGATTCTCAAGTGAGTCGTGTAATCTTTTCTTTTATGTTCTATTTAATCAATGATTATGTTGTCTAGGAAGAAAGAATTGCTGGTTGAGACACGACGAAAGCATGAAGATCTCGAATTTCAATTAATGGAATTAGAAACACGTTGCGAAGCTGAACTCGAACAAGCCGAAGAACAATTTCAACACGAACAAATCGTCGTAGCACAGAACTCCAAACTTCGACAGGTAAGTTTGAGTTTTCCTCGTCGAAATCGATCATTTCGATGTTTTATCTTTCTAGAATACATTGCGCGATCTGGACCATCAACAGAATATTATCTTACATCAAGTTATTATCGAAAAAGAAAAACTCGAACGAGAAAAACAGAAATTGAAATTATTATTCAAACAAAAGAAACTTGAAGCTAACGAGTTAGAACAAAAACTCAATGGATTATCATCGATTGTAAATCAAGAAAAGAAACATCATGAAAATAGTCATCAATCTTCGAACGGTATTATTGCTTATCTACATACTAATTTCATCTTTTTTTTAAAACTTTTTACGTGTAGATGTTTGGCTAAATGGAAATTCAGTTATGTATCATTCATCTCCATCGAATCTTTATAGTACATTGAATTATCCGGATAATCCTTCGTCAGCCAAGTAAGATTCAAAGGCAGATCAAATGATTGATCGACGGATTGTTTTTAGGACGAATATCAAAGATAATCATCAGGCGAAATTGGACGAGATCAAAGGAATGATTGCGGTTGCTAAACTGGAAAAAATGTCAATTCTTGAACACCAAGTAAGAAATTATAGGTTTATTTGTTCTTTTTTCTGAATTCCAATGTTTTAGTTACGCGAACGTTATGATGAACTTGTTCAATCTCATGATGAACATGCCAAACGTGTTGAATTAGAGCAAAAATTAGCTAATGAAATGCACAATCGAAGTCACCTGATCGATCGTCAAGTCAAATTACGTGAAAAGAATCGAATGCAGGTACGAATATCTCCATCAAATTTCTCATCTATTGGATTTTTTGATTTTGCAGGAACGTCCACTGACGCGTTATTTACCAATTCGCTCCGTTGATTTTGATCTACGTGCTCATATTGAAGGTGCTGGTCATTTATTAGATTCATCTCATATTCATGTGACCTCGACATCATGTCGTGGTTTTCTTCTCAAAATGGGTGGAATGAAATTCAAAACGTGGAATCGCCGTTGGTTTGTTTTTGACCGCAAACGTCGTTCATTATTTTATTATCAGGATAAAACGGAAAGTAAACTACGTGGTTGCATTTATTTTCAATCGATCCTTGAAGTTTATGTCGATCATCTACAATCGATTTCATTACGCTCACCGGAACCACGTGAAGCAACTTTTATCGTTAAAACCATCGAACGACCTTATTACTTAGTTGCACCAACGGTTGAATCTATGCGTATTTGGGTTGATGTTATCATCACTGGTGCTGAAGGAAATACATTTGCTGGAGAAAGCTAAACACAGTGTGAACACACAAGTCTTCATATCATTCCGTTTCATTTGTACTATATGTAATGAACAATTTTTCTTCGTTATTGGTTTTTTTTTATATTATTGGTGTGTTTTTTTTCCGCTCTCCTTTATATTTATAATAAGATAAGTTCAGCAATATAACGCTATCTTTGAAGACAGAAAAAACAAACTGGCGAATCTGAATTTATTCAAAGGATTAAAACGTCAGAGTAGAAGCAAAAGTACTGATTATCTCTACTAATAGATTGGTTTGGAGAAAAAGTCACACCAGGTGATAATACTCATAATATCTAGGTACTCATTATCATAACAATGATTTAACCTAAGGGGACGATCCGAAAATAACTTTTTTCTCACATTCTGAGTCCATTAATCGATACAAATGTTTCACAAATATTCATAGACCACGATTGAATGTAGAGACATCTGTCCGAGTGATAAACTGATTTGTTCTATGTCTTTCGTATTGTATCGAATACGAGAACGGACTATGACAGTAAAAAAATCAATCGTTCTAGAATTTGGCTTGACTCATTATGATTCGTGTCAATGAAGTTTTTCGATGCTTTTGAGATCACATCGACAACTTCGTTCGACTGCTCTCTTCCTCGATGAAATTATGAAATTAATCAAACGTTACGTCTTTATTCTTTGTCTATTTGTTCTTGTTTATTTTTTAATTTCCAACAAGAATCGTCTCTTTCCTCGTCTCGTTTTCGGACAATTTCATCTCGTATCAACTGACTACAATCAGACCGTCAATCTTCGTCAATCACAACTCTATCAACATGAAACATCCAAGGGAAGTTTTATAACTCTTTACGATATTAAACAAGATAATGAATGGAATTTTCAATGTCCTAAAACACGATACAACGAAGACGATATTCAAGATGTAAAAATCTGTATATATGATCCTCAACATGATGAACATGTTAGCGGACAATTGAATGACCATGGAAAATGGGAACCGGTAGTCGTCCGAAGTTTTCTTCGTTTATTACGTGCATTACCCAACACACGTAGGAGATCACGATTGTCCAGCCTTGAGTCGATGTTTGCTGTTTAGATGTGATTGATATTGGCGCAAATCTGGGTTTGTACACGCTATTAGCTACACAATATGATCGTCATGTTATTGCTGTCGAACCTTTATATGATTCGTTGATTCGTTTACACAAATCTATTCAATTGAATAATGTTCAACATCAAATCACACTTGTTGCCAATGCAATCGGAACTAAACACGAGCGTTTAACGTTAAATATTGTGGATAAAAACTTAGGTGCTTCATACATATCGTACTTAGATGAATTAGCACCACCGGAGAAGAAAATCGAAAAAATAGTCGACGATCAACAACCAGGAGGAGGAAAAGGAGTACCACCAAAAGTCTTAGCAGAAGTAGATACGATCACATTAGATGATTTAGTATCGATCTTCCCCAGTTTTTTCAAACGAGCCATTTTAAAAATAGATATTGAAGGTTATGAAGCATTGGCATTCGGCAATGCATCGTTGTTATTCAATCGAACGGAAATTCCTGCGATCTATATGGAATTTGGCAAACTAATCGAAATCAAATATCATCGAGGAATGATGACCAAGATTGAAGATATGTTAAATTTTTTGAAAAAACGAAACTATGAACCATATGAAGTGAATGATATTAATCACATTTTATACGACAATTGGGAATCATGGCCATGGGATGTCGTGTTTCGAAGATGTGACATTTGTCGATGTCCAGGCTTAGAAAAACTCGTTGGATCTGCAGAATGATAAAAAGTACGTATGCCTCTCTTTCGGCATGATTTCAAAGAAAAGAATCGATCTTGATTGACGATGTCTAAATATACTTTTCCTCTTTTTAGTTCGTTTGTCAATCCTACATTCTAGTTGTGAAATGAAATCTCATCTGTATTTGTCTCTATTTGTGTATATATTAGTTTTCTATAAGAATTTGTTATTGATTCCATTTGATACATTCGATTTTTTTTCTCTTTTTTGTAGATATTTCATGTCGACATCTTCGATTCCAGTTGTATCTGTTCAATTGATTTATACAGTTCAACATCCTTGTCGTGTTGTCAATTGTGATCGTGCGATTGAAACACTCGGTGGTCGACAAAGGCTCGTTGATGTATTTAGCCATTCAAGTACATCGCAATTAACATGTTCGTTTACTCCATCAAATATCTACGAACGACCTTTACGGGCTGAACGTCAAAAGACAACGGGACTTTTGATTCGTTTACGACGGAATAAACGAACAAAAGTTGTTCAGTCTGTTCATGTTATTGGTGTTCTCGACACGTCGTATGCATTTGAATCACTAGCTGATTTCCAGTATTTACCAATGATTAGGAAAAATTATCAGTATGAATCATTTCTAAATCGTGTGGCATTGAATAGACAATGTTTAGATAAAGAAAATCTTGAACGACCGTGTCCGTTAATGTGCATTCCAGCAATATTCTCACGTTTTTTCGATCCGACAGATTATGCCTTTCGACCTGAACCAAAAGCTCGACCAAAACGAACAGCAACGACGATAACACGCACCAAACAAGCAGTTAATAGTAACAAACTAACAAAACGAAATGTTCGATCTTCTGCAGCACATCACATTGGATTCGATGCAGCAGCAGTTCCCAAAGGTATAACCTTAATATTTCCATTTCTATTCAAACATTCAATAAAGAGATTTACCAATAAATTATATTATTTAGGTCCCAAATCGTCAAACGATCTTTATACAAATGTTGACCAATCGATTATAACCCATCTTCGTCGTCTGTTCGATCAGCGGCCAATATGGACTCGAAACAGTTTATTATACCATTTGAAAATCACCGAAGTTATTCTTAAACGTATTATTCATCATGTCGCCTATTTCTTTTGCAATGGCCCATGGAATCGTTGTTGGGTGAGATACAACTACGATCCGCGTTCAGATCCAAAGTCCAAAATCTATCAGATCGTTGATTATCGCGTTCGAGCAATTCTCGATCCGGAGAAGAACTTAGTCAAATCAAGAACATCAAGAGCTTATCATCGTTCATCGTTTGTTGAAATGTTAATCTTCTTTAACTTTACTTTGCAATTTCTCCGTCTTTCAGATTGATACCTGGTCAGATGTCAGCTACATCTACATCAGTTTCTGCGTCAAATATGAAAAACTATGCGGTAAGTCGAAGTCGTATTGCTTTTTCGAATCAAAATTTGAGATTTAGGAAGAAATGTACATGTTTAAACGGACGAGTTTGCCTGTTGCACGTTCGATTCATTATCAACTAATTGATATTCAATTAGACGAAGTTCAACAAATGGTTCATTCGAACGATGAGCAAGTAAATGAAGGGAGAAAAAGAGCTATTTTTATCAATGAAAAAAAGAGAATTTGTTTCACGACAGGCGCACTTGTTTTCTCCTTACATTAGTTGATAAACACACCTGTCAAAGTTTGATAAGAAAATTGGAAGAGAGGAGGAAGAGAACAACATTTGAGTACATCCAAACGAATCAAAGATTATTTTGACTTATGAGACTGCGCTCCCTCTAATCGCGATTCAGATAATATTGGCTTGCCTGTTTTAGTTATATGCTTAACACTCCCGATAGACTTTCTCGTAATCTATGCTTGAATTCATTCGATTTATTCAAGCATAGATAAACAACGGAAATTACCTATTACTATTTTATCACTCGCATCTATGCTTTCGGTACATATCTGACTATTCCAAAGTGCTTATCTCTTTTCTTTTTCTCTTATGAAATATTTAAGACTTGAAAGTGTGCGATTTCATCGCATATGTAAAGAGAGATTATTGTGTTTCAGGAACAGGAGTGTACAGAAAGTGATGGATGGTGTGTTGTTGATTATCAAAACCGTGCGCGAGAAATGATGTCAGCTGCACATGAGCAACTTTATCGTCAATATCAACGAGAACGTGGTATTCTTTTCTTTTTCTTTTCTTTCAAATTTGAAACAATTTAAAGAATTTTTTCTCATAGAGAATAATACGACTGGCGATGATGATGATGGAAGTCAACAGTTAGAAGAAGATGAAGAAAGTAATGATGAAGACGACGACGACGACGAAGATGAAGAAGATGATGATCAAGATGAAGAAAGCAATGATGAAGAAGAAGGTGATGATGATGATGAAGAACAAAACGACTCGCGCGATGAAACCTAGCACTTCGTTGTTTAGTTATGTATATATTCACTTCATATGAAGAAAAAAGAATATTAAAAGTCAAATGAATCCTTGTGCAGTCAAAAAAAAGAGAAAGAAATGCATTTGCTTTCTTTTTTTTCCTACTTATTCACTGTCTCCATCAGTGCGATTATCTTTCTTTTCTAGATGGGTTTAAATTCGACGAAATCTTCATTGACAAATGCGGAATATTCCTTAACGCTTTCATCGGCCAATGATTTCTATCGGACACTGACGCCAATTCAAGGCGAATTTCATTTAAATGTTCGATCGAAACTGCGGATTGAAAAAGAAATTCGCGTGGATTTAGTTGGTCAATTGCTTGAAAACAAACGATATGGATCACGTTCTACACGAAATTCTTCTCAAGCAAACAATAATAATAATAATAATAATATTTTCTTAACTTATTCCTGTTCGTTGATAACTTCGCATGAAAATGGTACAGCGCGAACAATCAAACAACAACAAGTCAACTATCCATTTCGAATTCCACTTGGAAGTAATCTTCCACCTTCATGTGAATTCAAAGAATTCTCGATTGTTTACTATTTGGAAATCTTTCACGATGGACGATTGTTACCAAATACACACAGACAAATCACCATTGCGCCACAAGTACCCCAATTAACTGTTCCATTACCATGTAAAGTCACAGGTAAAATATCAGCGTTAAGAAAACATTTCTGTTCAAATCGATGTTTTTTAAGGTTCGGGTGATGTAACAATGATCTGTAGTTTACCAAAGTCATTTTATTCGGGACGTGATTGTCCTATTGTACCGCTGTCAGTTTCCATAACAAATCCCAAGCAAAAACAAATCAAAGCTGTCACAGCACAATTAATGCAGACAGTTTCATTAAATGGAATCAAGCGGGAAAATGAAATTTTTACCGCTCTTCTTAATGAAATCGCTGAAAATACGAAAGAAAATGAAGTCAATACTAGATGTGAATTGGTTTTACCTGCAAATCTCTCCCCAACTCATGTTCCCAATGAAAATGGTTCACCTGATAATCTACCAAATATCGCTATTACTTATGAATTTCGTATAACAGCCCAGATGAAAGGTGCAACAACTCCTAATCTTCGTTTATCAGTACCGCTTGGTGTTGAATAACTGATCTTTCTCTCTAAACGTGTGTGTGATATTTTAATCTATTTGCTAATTATTCTTACAAGAAAAAAATTTCTATTTGTTCAATCGAGCAGCATTAGACTTCATTTAATTTAGTAATAAGTGATAAGCACAAACAACAAAAAGACAATGATGATGGTGTACACGTTTCTTTTTCCTCTTTTTTTTTTGTACAATAAATTCTATCGTTCTACTCGAGAGTTACACATGTTACTTTGCATGAGATTGAAATGTAAAGAGAAAACAAAACAGAGAAGAACAAGACGAGTTCAATGATGGTTAACACCATTGCCTGTTGGATGTAAATCCTTAACTTTGGCCAGAAATGAATTGAGATATGTGAATATACATTTGTAGTCAGGTGTATTACCCATAATGAGCATATCCGAAACGTCGAGCAATTGAGGCACACCGGCACGTTCTTCAGCGACACGAAAAGCAAGTTCAAAGTTTTCTTTACGATTACTTGACGATAAACTATTGAAATCAAACGCATCCGGAAAGAAATGATGAGTTAGGGCGCAAAATGCTAAACCATCTGCCCATGATGATGAGAGATTAGTAACCGAAACATTCTGAATTAAGCGAAAAATCAGATAAGAAACTAATTTACACAAAAGAAATGAATCACTTACAGGATAACTAGCAACTTGTGCTTGACACCAACGAAGAAGGCCTTCTTTCACATTCGATGTAGAACGAACAAGAGGTGTTCTACAATATAAAGGAATTACGTACTTCAAGAACAATCTTATCGATTACCTTCGTTTATACGCTGACGGGATATTATTATTGGTTGTCGAAGGTGTTGATGGAGGCGATGTTGCTCCCGATCGATTCATATTGATCGTCATCGCACGTTGAAGTGTTGGACGACTGGGTGCGGTTATTGTAGGTTTTGTAATGGCTGGTGTTGGTGGTGGACTTGTTGATGGTTCGGTCAATGCTGAATGTCGTGAATTGACCACTGATGAAAACAATGGCGTTCGTTTAGTCGGAATCGCTACTGGAGCCACTGGCCGTGTTGATGATACAGCAGCATTCAATTGATTCACCATCGATCTCACCCGATTTTTACCAAGAGAAGACGAAGATTCTAGTCGAACAAAATCCGAATATTTATTCATGATTCGAAATGAAAAATGTATACATGCACGCGCGTACACTCAGACATATATTTTACTTTTATCATAAACTGTAGTTTCTTTCGTTCGTTCTCTTTCTTTCTCTTTTTCTTCTGATTCAAAATAGTTTATGAGTGCTGAATAATATTTCAACGATAACGATTTTTAAATACCTGCGAGATTTTGTGATTCAGTCATATTAGTTCCGTTGACTAAGTTGTGTTTCTTTCCAGTCGAAGTTAACGGTGTTAATGACACCTAAAATTCGAAAATAACATTAAGAAACGTGAGAAAAGAAAATGAACTTTCAAGTTTATTCTTTTTGTTTGTCTGAAGTACGCCCTTACTTAAACATCTGCAATCTTACCTGTTGTTGAATAGTTCTGTTGACGACGTTATTCGGCAACGTTGACGATTGATTCGTTATTCCTGTTGGTTTTCGTATTGATGATGTTGCCATCGTCGAGGGTGTTACTGATGACATATGACTTGCAATCGTTGGTTTCAATGGTTTTTTGATTGTTGACGAAGGCGGTTTCAGTTTACTTGAAGTTGGAACATTTTTTAATGGCTGTTTCAAACGCGATGCGTTTGTTATTGTTGTATTGGGAGTATTGCTGAGAGTACGTTTTGGTAGTTGTGAAACAGATTTATTGTTGTTTTTTGTTAGATTACCGTTGGGAGCGTTTGAATTGACCGAAGTCGTCTTTTGACTGATAAGAACAGTTGAAGCAGATGATACTGTGCTACTCGATGACGAACTACTGATTAAACGATGAGATGGTGGTGAATGTGTATGAGGGTTGATTGTAACGACGTCATTTATTGTCTCATTTTCTTCCGTGCGATAAATAGACGAGATAAAATTGTTTGAAATATGTGCTGCTGATGACGGCTCAATGGAATGGTAACTAGAAGAACGAAAGAAAAGAAAAAAAAACATTTATAGAGAACGGGTCCATTCAAATCACGTGGTGATCATCGAATATCAAAGGACCTACTTTTCGTGAACTTCGTCTTTTGTCTCGATCGTTGGTGATGCTTGTTTGACTGTCAAATTTAGATATGTGAGTAGAGGTGTTGTTAATGGTGGAACTTCGGTTTCATTCGTTGTAAACGTATGTTTCAAAGGACTATGGCGAATGCGACTTTTTTCTGCACGTATTCTCTCCCGAGCGGAATTAAATTGTTCTTCGGTGGTATTTTCTCGAATAACAACCACTTGTTGATTGCTTAAATTCGCCTTATTCGTTTCATTGTTATGCGTACTTTTGTAAAATGTTTCAACTGTGTATGTTGTTTCTTCTTGAACGATATTGTCGCATCGAATATTTTCGTAAACTTGATTTTCATCAGTCGAGGAACTGCTTGTTGAATCTTCAGATATTGATGTGGATGTTGACGATGAAGAAGAAGATGAGAGAAGCGGGGGTGGTGGAGATTCATAGGGAATTTCTTCGATTTCGTATGTGGTTACCGATGGTTCGAAGTGAACTCGAGGAGATGAAACTGGATAACTTGGGCTTAAGTCAGTTAATGACGGCAATGAAGGAAGATTCGGTCGATCTTTTTTCGCTGGAATGGAGTCAAAGACAATGATTTTTGGTAAAACTTGTTGTTGCTGTTCCTTGGTGAATTGAGATAAAAATGATGGTTCTTCATGATTTTCGACGATCGTTTGAGATCTTAATGACACTGGTGAATTATTTAAGTTATTAAACTTTTTGATTATACTCGCGATGGAGTCGACTTTCGTATTCTTTTCCGGAATTGATGAAACAGGTTCTAATTTTGGTAAAGATGTAATCGATGGAACGAATGTGTCCAAATCTAATGGACGAACGAGTTTCGGTTTGCAGAACATGCTTGACGTGACCGATTTGTTCTCGTCGTACGAGTTTGTCGTTGAATTCGGTGAAGACATGGGTGCAGTGAGACAAAAAGTAACGCCTAACGATTTCTTTGGTTCGATATTGGAAAGGTTATCGATTCCTCGTGCAACCAAATTTGCGTACTTGGATATTTTATTGTTCTGTTCGGGACAGATGTCTTTTAGTGATTCTTTCGCTTGTTGAAGAGCATTGATCGTTGAAGTATATTCATTATTAAGACGGCGAACACTTTGATTCCACGTTGACATTGATGATGATGATGATGACGATGGAGGTAATGGCCGAATTATAGAATCCGAAATTCGATCGGACGGTTCGTGAAATGACGAAGACATTAACGTTGGAGATTCAATATGACGACACACTAATGGTCGATAATTATATAGAGAAGTTGATAATTGATGATTGGTAATGTTTCCGTTCATCGCCATTGGTTCAATTGATGAGGGAGAATTGCAGTAGATTTGACTGGAATAAATTATATTAGAATTCATTGATGAGACAGGTGATAGTGGACGAATGTCTATAAGAAGATCAGACATATCCCATAAGTTCTAATGAAATTTTCAAAAAAAGGTTAACAAATAATCTTGTTCATGGTTAATTGAACTTTAAACAAAGAGGATATTAGTGAAACATTACGAATTTATCAAGCGTGACAAGAAAATCTGATGTATATTGAATTGTAGATTGATAAAAACTTTCGTTTCTTTACAAGTCTACTTAGTCCAACCTTGATTTCTATCAGAAAAACGCTCGATTTCACTGATGTCTCATAGTTTGTTTATGCCTATTCGAATTATAATCATTTATATGAATCTGAGACCTCAGATATGCTTATCAGTTAATCGATAATTTACTCTTATTAATAATAGAAAATTATAGCTTTTCATCGGTGAAATATTAAACGTTATCATCTCACGGTTTTCATTCAATCTAATGAATGTCTCACTGATTATATCTTACCATATTTTGCTTGAACCTCTCGATGTTTTTCCATAGATACCGAATAGCTTTGACTTCTTTCGTTGTAGAATGGCTGAGGTGAAGGAAAATTTCTTTCGTATAACATGGAATGATGACTAAAATATGGTGGTTGGTCATCATAAATGGCACGATGAACGATCATATCTTTGGAATTGGAATAATTCGAATTAATCACTCGAATAAGTCTTGCTGTGGCAATTCCATCAGTGGGATTTTTAATTGGTAACGACGAATCAGTCGTCGTTGGTAATGATATCGTATTTTGACTATCGTCAATAATTGACGACGAACTTGATGATGACACTGAAGAAGGCGGAGGAAATTTACCTGAAGTTGAATGATCAATATTGTTAGCAGTAGTCAGATGACGTCGTCGAGGCGATGCCGATGACGATTGGTCATTACTACTGCTACTGCCATGATGTTTCAGTTCTAATGAACGAAAAAATGCTCGTGCTTTTTCGACCGCACTATTCGTTGATGCTGAATGTTGTAGTTTTTTTAATGATTCTAACGAGAAATATGGAGATGGAATTCGGAAGCGAAATGAAACAACTTACCAAGTTTCGATTTGAATCGACTCTCTGTTTTTGACATCTTTTTCTCGTGTTTAATTTCACTCTTAGTCTTCTTCAATAATGATTGTCGATATTGAGTTTGTTGTTCGGGATATTCGACCCCGTCGCGTTCATCCATATCGCCGGCCAACTCTTCCTCTACTCATCAATTTATACATACATACATATATGTATATACGTTAAGATTTTTTTTTAACCAACAAGACGAAAACGAATATATGACAAAGTTCTTTCAACTGATGAGAAATCGATGAGTAGACGGAGAATATATGAATATATGAGAACAGCTTAATAATATATACATATGAAATAGTATGTGCATGAAGACGAGCGATGCACCCGCGACATGTACACGTATAAGTTATCCGATTGACAAGGAAGAAAAGCAATTGCTCATTCATTTAGCTAACGTGTCTCTCGAGAGAAGAATAAATGAAAGGAGACAGAATATCTATCAAAAGCTTTTTCTCACCATTAAAGATGACTATCGAGTGGACAATTAACGTACTTTTTTTGTTAAGTGAATTAAATAAACCGTTGCCAAAACATACAAGTAGTTCGAGTAGAAGAAGAAGAAAATTAAATTTTGCCTTTTTATTTATTCAGCTTCAAAACAGTGTCAATCGTTCAGCAAATAAAACACTGGATAAGCAATGGATCAAGTGTAGAGTTGATACTCATCTTTCACTTCTATTTGATTAACGATGATCTTTTTCTTGTCGATAGAGAAAACATCGAAGGCGGAGATAGGACAGATTTCGAAATCAACGGAAAAAGAAAGCGATATTGATATATACATTGACCGATGTCGATCTGATTATTTTCTTGTCATCGTTCATCATTTGAAATGAAGAAAAAAAAATCATTTTGATCATAATCAAAAGAAGACGATTATTTCGATGAGAATGTTATAAACTTGTTTTCAACAATACACCGAACGTTGGATTTCGAAAAAATCATGATGTAATTTCTCTTATTCATGTATGTCCTATTACTCTACTTATCTCGACATGTTTTTGTATGTAGAAATGGATTATTGTTCATGTAATCACGATTGCTATCTTAATGGTCAATAGTTTTAAGTAATTTTGTTGTATAAATGCAAAACGACAGATGATTTTGGATATTCATCTTATTATTTTAACATTGCGGCCAAGTTCAAACGATCCATTGAAGTTTTTTTGTTGTTTTCGGTAGAGAAAATTTCGATAACATCCGTTTGGATCAAACGTAGAATAAAAATGCCTTTAGGATAGATATCAATTTTATTCAGTAGAAAAACAATCTTGAGGGTGTGGATGAGAGTTTTATTAATTGAAATGAATATATCATCTTTACTATCACATTTATCATAGTGAATATTGTAAAAGAAGACGAAGAACAGATTTTTAATAGGATATTCCAGTTTATTGTGATCTTTTTTTAAAATAAAAGAGAAATCATTCAATTGTCTATCGAGAATGTGCAACAATTTGATCAATACGTTTATGAGCAAGTACTATGATTTCTTCAAGAAAATAGTGCAAAACCTTATACACAGCAGTAAATGATATTCCCGAAGCTATAACTGGTCCAATAAGTGGTAAATATCTGGCACCTTCTTCAGCTGCATAAACGATTGCAGTTTCACTAAGTTTTTCTATTAGTAGTCTCCTTATTCCAGTGTCATCGGCATCGAGAAAAACCATTTTGGCACCATAGATAACCTTTACTAGGTCTTCAAGATTAATACCAAGTCTTTTCGAAAGAATTTCAATTGCCTCATTGTCAACACCAAAATCTTTTAGGTACAAATGTATTTCCCTGACCATGAGAGCTACATCGCAGCAAATTGACAATCCAGGAACAGGTACAGCAGCAATACCAGCTGAAGCTAAAGCGACTTTAAATATCCGACTTCTAATAAGAGCTCCTTTCTGTTCAACAGCTTCATGAGAATTGGCACTAATTGTATGAACAAGTGCTTCTCGCTTTAAACCCGGTGCGTTTTCAATTAAATCTTGAACAAGTTTTGGAAAATCCCATTTCGTATAATTTTTCAATCGTCCACTAATCAAATAAACAGGATGTTCACCAGGAATACTTTTTAAATCTTCTTGACAAATTTGTTTTGTTTCGTCGAGATAAACTTGTTCATTAAATTCATCGCCTCTATCTTCACGTTCATTTGTAATATCTTGATCTATTCTTGTTCGAACAAAGAAGAATTTCTTTTGACATTTATGAAGTTCATTAGCCAGATAACAATCATTCTCTGTGAATCGATTAGATACAAGAATGATGAAGAAGTCGTATGAGTTAAGTTGGAATGTTTCTGAATATTCTCTTATAGGAAAGTTTGGAACTCCGGTACCAGGAAAATCATAATAAACTACTTTTGGATTTTTTACATCTGGATATGCTCCTACATTCGTTGTACCTTCTTTGTTACTGCACGCTTTTGCAGCTTTTGGGTGATCCGGTGGTAAATCACGCATTGTATTGATGAAAGTTGACTTTCCTACGCCCGATGTGCCTATAACACCAATGCGTAATTCTTTTTCGTTCCATTCTTCTATAAATTTACGAATCCATTGGTCAAACCCATTACATCCATGAAGTGCGATTTGTTTTTGTATTTTTTCATCAAAATAATTTTGATAATCACGAGTGGAAATTCTTTCAACAACATTAAAACGAATACTAATGAAAAAAGAAATTTTATTGTCATCTTGTGAAATTTCAATTCATATGCATTTATTTACCTCGGGGAAGAAACAATATTCTGCTGTTGAGCTCGACTTAAAAAAAATGATCGACGTTCTTCATTCGACATTTTCAAAACTCCTGTGTAACATTAAAGTCGTCTGCGTACCTATATAAATATTGTTTCTTCATCAAGATTGTGTTTTTTCCGAGCCCACTACACTTTGTCAACAAGTAGTAGTTTACTCAAGAAAAATAGTGAGTCAATTCAAACAAAATATGATCTTCTATATATCATGCATGGCTATTATTCCATTTCATCGTCGAAAAAAGTCAATACTTTCTCGTACTTCTATTTTCTGTCGCATGATTCCTGGAGTAACTAGGTCTTCGCATTAACATCAGTAAGCATAAGATTGTAATATATGTTGGAAGAAAATAAAACGATGTGAAATAAAGGAACTCAAAAGAGTTATGAAAGGAAATAAATAAAGATATTCATTATTTTAATGTCATCGCTTTTCTGTCATTTTCTATGAATGTGAAGCTAGCGCAAACAAGCGATATCTTAACTAAAATTTTGTTTTTAACTAAAGAAGTCCCGTCCATGAAAACTACGCTATTGGACTTAGGATTTAATTCTGCAGTGAATGATGATGTTTTTATTTACGAGACAAACTTTGAAGAAATTCTATTTATTTACAATTTATCTCCTATATAGAAAAATAATTACGATGCAGGAAAAAGTTTGCCTCGTGGAGAAAAACACCATTAATCAATGCAGAATTAAATTCTGAGTCGAATAGTGTAGTTTTCACGGACGGGACTTCTTTAGCTAACATATCGTTTGTTCGTGATAGCTTCAAACTGGTTCATTTTCTTTTATTTAATTATAACAACTACAAAAAAAAACAAGTTTTAACAAAATTGACGAAGAAAGTATATTACTGATAGATTATTCAACGAAAAATGCACAAGTGTTCCAGATGACTACGTATAAATATCAAACGAATGAACCAGATCTTTTCGATCTCTTCATTGGTTGTGCAACTGAAGCTAATGGACTAAAAATAAACATAATTGCGAAGACAGGGTGAATTTTCAACGAATCCACCGATTAAAAATCTCTTTTCGATAGATTGCTTGGAAATTCTCGATCGTCAGTCTGAACAACGCAGTGTTTTCTAAATATATTTATCTGTTCTCGTAGGATGTTCATTACTAATGAGCTTCTAAGTTATATGTGTGACTGATTTCTTTAGTAGTCTTTTCGAATAACCCCTAAGAATAACATCTCAGCTACTCATACGCAAGTAGTAAAGAGTCTTGGCCATCAAATTCGTCCAGATAGTTTATCTGGTCACCATAAGGTAAATGTTTAATCAAAGAAACTTACCATCGCATGAATTCTATTTGAGAATGCCAAACACTTTATCAATTGCTATGTTCATTCCCCATGTTGTCTATTTCCTATGAACTCACATTATATTTCTTCAAATCATGATAAGCCAAAATACGTTTTTTCCATAAATAAATGATTTGCTTTTCTTATTCTTTGATATTGTTGATTTCGGTGATGATCTGTGTCCTCATCTATCAAAAACAGTAGTTGGAAATGTTTGTCAAGAAATGATCGGTCATTTACTTTTTCACCTGACTTTCAATCTTTGTTGGTAAAGAAGTAATGCATTTCAGCGAATTTACGATAATATTTCGCAAATAGGGGAAATTTTCAACTTCATTTAACCAATTTGGATTCTTAAAAGATGCCCGAGAAAACTAAACTTATTTGAAAGAAATGATAAACTCAATTATTATGTTTATCAAACTGACAGGCAAAAATTAATTTTCAACTTTTATTCTTTCTCAGTTTTCTTTATTAGAAAAACAAATATTCCATACGAAAAAGTTCTATACTACATTTCGTCATGTAAAACTTCATCTGTGTCAAGAATACGCATATCAGTAAACACATGAGCATGACTTTGAATTTCATTTAATGACAAAGTATTATCGCCTGGTGAATCATCAACTTTTTCAAATAGTCGATTTACTTGAATATTGATATGAGCACGATTCATTGGATCATATGCTTTCTACAAAGAACCACAAGAATATTCTGTCAATGTTAAAGTTATATCCATACAACTAATTCTTCCTTGGAGAGAATGCCATCACGATTCTCGTCGAACTCAAGAAATTCTCGCTTTTGGGACGCCATCCATTGCTGATCTACTGTTCCCAATTTCGTCTCACCACGTTCTCCGTTTATATCATGTGCTATAAATTGGCTACCGTGTAAGAAGTATAACAAAATGCGTCGATTTTTACGTACATGGAACAATAACGAACTCTTTTTCAGTTAATTGCTGATCATTATCACGATCTAGGCACATTAAAAAACTAAATTATAAGACTGAGAAGAAACACAAACCTAACTGCGCTATGAGATTATCAGCGATACTTGTCGATGCTTGACTGACTAGTTCGGGATGACGAAATGCGAGAAATTGATCGACATTAAGGTCATCTCCAACGCGCATCCAACGATTACGAATTTTAAGAAGTTCGGCGAGCACTAAAAGTATTACACATTCGATAGGATCGATCCAGTTGCTGTGTATCATTACTGACAATCGAGATCTATTGATTGTGGTGCAATGTCCATGTCGTGTAGATATTTGTCAACGGATACGTTTTGATTATGGAGTTTAAGATACAATGCTGCATATTCGGGCCACGTCATTTTTCCTACAATCCAAACAGAATTAAGAATACATCAAACTCTTCTTTTACCGTCGTTGTTCGTATCGATCAATACGAACAATTGAGTGTTCTTGTCTTTCGCTTCTCTCAGATGATCTTGAACATTCTTGAACAGGTAACTCACCAGTTCTTCTCGCGTCACACGCTCATCATGATCAACATCAGCTCTAAACACATTCACATCAACTCATCTCATCTCATCTCACAAGTAATGAACTCACAGTCGAAAGATTTCTTCAAGCTTCTTATTTCGCTTCATCTCATCGTGTTGAATATTCGATTCGAATAGTTCATGATTGCCTAAGAATAGTTCTCGGTGAAACTCAGGATTGACTTTGCCATGCCGATCGAGGGGTAAGCCTTCGAGATGTTGATCATCTTTGAGACTATGGATGCCGAAACTTTTGAGATCTTTTGCTATTTTCGATAGATTGAAATCTTTGGGTATTTGCAATTTTGCTAACTCCACTGAGAAATTGGCGTATTCGGAATGTATCTTCTTCCGTGCCGAGTTGTTGCTAGTGTTACGGACAATATATTTCTCATCAACCGGCAGAGTAGTTACGATAACACCCGAAAACCAAGCTAGATATACGAGTCCTACCAGCATCGATCTGATTGTAGTCAAAAGTAACAATGCTTTGTCTACTTCCAGTTCAATCTATTAGAATTTGAATACTCATTTAGATCAGTGGTTAACGATGCTTGAAGTTATGCAAGCTGAATGATAAAAATAAATATTCACAACGAACGTAACGCTACAGTAAATGCAAATAATGTTCGAATCGAGAAAGTTTGTCTCGGCATACTCCGTTTTGATCGAATGGACAAAAGTAATACTGACTCATTTGCTATAGACGTCGCCAGGTAGTACACGTTATGCATTAGGGCAGACAAGAATAGATCGATCTATGTTAGCTATAAAGATAACATTGATTTTATTCAAACACCGACAATGTGATTCGATTACGAGTGAACAGAGCAACGAAATAAATTACTGCGTATTATGAAAAACAGAACAGGAAAGGGAAAGTTTTCAATTACATTTCTTCGTGTAACACTTTTTCTGCGTCTAAAAGTCTCATATCAGCAAATGTATCAGCATGATTTTGAACTTCATCCAATGATAATGCATTATCGACTGGCGAATCATCGACTTTTGAAAATAGTTTCTTTATTTGCCGATCAATATGGCCCCGGTTCAATGGATCGTACGCTTTCTACAAAAAATCGACCATCAGTTTGAAAGAAGCAACTGAATCCTTACCAGTAATTCGTCTCTCGTTAATACTCCATCATTGTCTTCGTCAAATTCATGGAACTCACGCTTCTGCTCTTCTAACCAACGCTTATCCATATCAGCCCATTCCTTATTATTAGGATCTTCTAAGCCCGATGCTAGACAAAGAAGAAAATAGGGTGTTGAGTTGTCCAAAATATTTTCACATACGTGGCAAAAAGGCAAATTCATCGATGGTCAATTTCTGATCTTCATTACGATCTAAACACGAGTAAAATACGACACTGTGAGAAAGCGAAGATATCGTTTATGAGCAAAGAAAACAAACCCATCTGCGACATAATATCATCCACGATATGTTTATACGAACGACCCGCTATTTCTGGATGGCGAAATGCGAGAAATTCGTCAAGGTTAAGTTCATTGTCAACATCATGATCAGCTTCTGTCCACCGATATCGAATTTTAAGAAGTTCACGACGCACTAAAACAATAAATGAAGTAAATACATGAATAAATGGATACGGAATGTATGACGTACAGTTACTATCGAATGATTCTTGAACGAAATCAATGTCATTCAAATCTTTTATATCTGATGCATTCATATGGTGAAATCTGATATACAACGCCGCATACTCAGGCCACGTCACTTTTCCTACAATCCAAACAGAATTAAGAATACATCAAACTCTTCTTTTACCGTCGTTGTTCGTATCGATCAGTATGAACAATTGAGCGTTCTTGTCTTTCGCTTCTCTCAGATGATCTTGAACATTCTTGAACAGGTAACTCACCAGTTCTTCTCGCGTCACACGCTCATCATGATCAACATCAGCTCTAAACACATCTACATCAACTTATCTCATCTCATAAATAATGAACTCACAGTCGAAAGATTTCTTCCAGCTTCTTATTTCGCTTCATCTCATCGTGTTGAATATTCGACTCGAATAGTTCATGATTGCCTAAGAATAGTTCTCGGTGAAACTCAGGATTGACTTTGCCATGTCGATCGAGAGGTAAGCCTTCGAGATGTTGATCATCTTTGAGACTATGGATGCCGAAACTTTTGAGATCTTTTGCTATTTTCGATAGATTGAAACTTTTTGGAGGTTGAATTTTCGGTATTAATAGCGGTACAGGTTCTGCTACTGCTGCTGGCTGATCGATTCGAGATTCGGAAATGGTTGAATTTTTTTTAGAAGTCTTTGGAATACTTTGAACATCGGCTTTCTACATAGTGAAAACTTTCTATTACATTTTAGAGAGAGAAAAACAAGAAAAAACTTACGTTCTGGATGACTGGGAAAGCACCTATACCAATAAATATTATTAAAAATAGATGTGAAAGTTTGATTAGTATAGATAACATCTGATCTACAAATCAATGGAATAAATGATAGATATTTTATTGTTAGATCTTTTGAAATCAGATAGATTTTTATGCATGAATCAACTGTTCATCAGTTTCATTCGGTTCAGTATCTAAAATAGGTTGTTCACTTTCATCTACAGGCACGGTTATGGCTAATTGAGGTGTTCGAGTAATACAAAAAGCTTGTATTCTAGAAAGAGAAAAAGAACAATCAGTAATAAATCGCAACAAGCATTCGAGTATATTACAAAATGAGAATCAATGCTAGTATTCTTGTGATTGCAGCAAAAACGAAGACAAGACCAGGGAAAAAATCAATTGAAGCCTGATAAATTTCCACACAGGTAACTGTACCAACTACGACGTCGAGATTCTGTATCAATGCAACAAACCCAAAGGCTTTGCCTGAAAAACCATTTATTCGTCCATGGAAAAGTTTCAACTAGTCGCATCATTTACCTTTATCTTGTTCAGGCACTAATCGTGCAATAACAGATCTTAAGCATACGGAAAAATAAATAGAAAACATCGAAGATGGAATTGCTACAATGGAAACAATGAGCAACTGTATATGTTGCCTCAAAATTCTCATTGATTTTTACCTCCGAAAATCATTGCTTTGTTACGTCTTGCGAACGCAAATAGAAATGGTCCAACCAAAGAAAGACATAGACCAACACAGGCGAGATAAAGATCATTAATCTTCCATCGTCGTCTCATTACCGCCAAGATGATCAATGCTAAACAAGTTGCTAACTGTTCAAATGTAAAATATGCTGCGTAATGTGCGTCATCAAATGACATTTGATGTAAATACAAATAAATAATTGACGACGAACCCATACGAAAGAGATCATAGAAGAAAAGTGCGATCAAAAGCATGAGAAATGACACGAGCAGAGAGTTTTGCTTTAAACCAACGAACAAGTCATGGGTATCAACTAGAGGACGCATGAGCTTTTGTCGCAAGTTAATCGTTGAGGCTTGAGTCACTGAACGAGTTCGAAGGAAAACAAGACTAACAATGAGTGTGACGATAAGAAGAAGAACATGCGTTAGCAAAATATGCCAAATGCGAGCATGTACTTCAAAAATAAATGTGCATAGTAAATAACCAATAACAACGCCAATATTCAATGATGCTTCAATCAATGCAATAGTTTGAACTTGTTGGTCTTTATCGATACAGGGATCAGTAGCATAACCAAAACACGATCTAAATTCAACGAAATTAGATTTGTATTTTGATGATTTTAATCGCTCACGAAATAAGTATCAATGCTCCGCCACCGAAACCATTGACAATGTTAGCAACTAAGTATAAGATTAAACATAATTGCGTGCCTTGATAAATACTGGCAACCATTATGATTAAACCAGTGACAACTGCATTACAGATCGTTAAGACAATGGGTAATTTACGATTTTTTGTATCAGATAAACTTCCATAAATAGGAGAAAGAATACAAGCGATGATTGAGAATGATAGAGTACCATAGAGAGTCCATTGTGAACTTTCTTTTTGAATTGATTCTTGTAAAGCATGAAATGATTGATTTTGGTCGATCTGATCACAAAATGATGCGTTAGCTCGAAGAAGACATACGGTTGAATAGATTAACGAGTTTGTCGCACAAACAAATAGGAAAAATGAGCTTAAATACAGAATGCATATAATACAAATTGGTAACACAGCACGCCACAAGCCTGATGATGCTGTCGATGGTTCGACCATTTCAATTTTAATTTTACTTATTGATTGATTAGCAACATTGGTATTATATTTGCAAGTTATGTGTGAACTGCGACTAATTTATATTGATCAAATCAACAACAAATGACAATCCGTGATCGATAGAGGGCAGGCATGTTGCAGAAGAGACAAAATTCGACTTGAAAAATACATATAATTATGAGTTTTACGTGAAATATATAGGTGATCCTACTGAATAATCAACTCATTGATTCTTTTATAGAGATTACGATGAGGGCATTTCATATTTGACTGAAGTTCATTCGCTTTCATACAACATAATAATCAGGTTCGAAAATATAAACATATCTTTTCTCTTCATTGAGGGTAAAATAGTATTTTTTCGTATAGAAGTGAGGTAAAAAAAGAACTGTTCGTTGTTCTTTGTAAGGCTTGATTTGAATTCGATAGTTCTTATTGTGACGTAAAGGCGGTCAGAGAGACACAGGAACGATTCATTCTATCACTATATCGCCCGTCAGTTCACTATTTTGTAGTACACATAACATTGACCTTTTTCTCTCTTTTTTTTTGTTTGGTCAAAGATGAACTATTCACTTACGTCGTCCGCACTTTCATAAAAAAGAATGATGTATAAAAGTACTTTAACATATTTATTCTTTAGTAAGTAAAATTGAAATACAATTAGTCTTTTAAATCTTCTTTTTTTGCGATTATCCAAGTTTACTGCTTCGCAATTCTTCCGAGTTCCATTGATACATCCGATTGCTATTTTTGCCCAAATTGCTTGAATTCTCAACGTGGTGTACGTCTTCCTGCTCGTGCAGACGATTGGTGCTACGTAAGTACAAGTTTATAGGATTATAAAGAACCTTCGAACATAGTTTTATCTCAATTAGAAAATTGTATGGCGATCCGGTCCTGGGAACCATCAAATGGTCTCACGTGGCGCATCGGCTGACTGCCGTCAAGATGCATACAATGACCAGAGTATGACTATGCCAAGTATTTTCTCCGGCACTGCTCGCTACTGTTGTCGAGGTCATCTCTGTAATTCGGCGCCCAAGCGTATGAGTTATTCGCGTATACTTCTTTTATTTTTGATATTTGCACAATTGACAAAAAATACACTAGGATCTTATTCAGACTTATTGTGGTAGAGATCTCTTCGTTACATTTCTAAGAAGTAGTAGATTGCTAGGTTTTTGGCAAGTTTTTTTATATTTTAAATAGCAAATATTCGCTCACTTAATTCATAGCATGAATTGTGCTAAATACAATGCACATACATCTGTTTTTTCTTTTTCTTTCTTCTTCTACGTAATGAAATCTAAGAAAGATATTATGAAGACGATCTTTGACATATGTGTTTACTGTTTTCAACGTTGGCTGAGGATGAGAGCGTTCTCGTCTTCTTCTTCTTCTTATTCATCCTCAAGATTAATTCGACGGTACTTCCTATCAGCTTCGATGAATGTCTGAGATGGTAGTAAAGTACATTGTCATGATTTCTAACGTTTGATTTCGCTGACTGAGCCAAGTCATTCTCGGCAAGTACTGATGTCGCCGAGGGCACCACTGTTTTATTAAAAGTGATAAACTATAAGTAGGCACCATATTCCAGCTCAAATATTTGTCAACTAAATCAGCTTACAATTGACATTATAAACTCGAATGAAGAAAAGGTAGAAAAACCACTTCGAAAGTTGCTTTGCCTATTTCACTTTCGCATCTGTACCGAACTTTGTGTTGTCGATAAAAAACCTCGTATCAATGTGAAGCGCTATTTGTTAATTTACAACTGGCAAACTCGCCTTGAAATCTTTGCATGTTCAACTTGTGACCGCTAAACATAATTTCTATTCGTCTGCATTCCTCTGCAAGGCAGATGAGGCGACTTTGACAAGTTCTCTTTCACAATAAACAAGAAAGAAAAAAACAATAATCTAGTTCTCGCCAGTCTTATTCAGGTTCGATATTAGAAATGTTTGATGGATTTGAGTTCTCGGATGTAACTTGATTAGTTTTCATAAGACATCTAGATTTTAATCTTCGCCAGCATCTTTTTTTCAAAGTAAACACCACTTGTCGACGATATCGTGGCGATAAGATCATAAAAACAAAACAACTAAGCTGGAATAAAATCGAAATATTCAATACTAATCAAATGAGAAAAGTGAAACATACTGACCGAAATATTAAGCCAATATAAAGATAAAACGATCGCTTGAATCAATCGTGTAACTGCATATTGTAATGATTGACCTTGCGCAGTAGGTGTATTAAGAGAATAGGTACGAAAAATTGCATACGGTGAAAAAAGAACAGCTAACATCACCACACGTATCAGAACAAGCGCCGTCATCTGTTGATCTAATCGCCGTCGAGCTATCGGAAGTTGTCGACGAACTATACGACGAACATTTCGAAATGCTAAAATATTAAACAATGACGCAATGCAGATCGGCAATAAGCCGATTAAAACTGGATAGAAGAAGTAAGTCGAATATCGAAGCCAAATAGGATCTGATATAGTACAGCCTATCGAAGGCTGAATATTGAAAGATGTAGTAAATACAATACTATGAATAAGCCAGATGCATACAAATATACCGGACAGCCATCGAGCTAACCGAATTGTACATAAATTTCGTAGATTTAATTGATAGTTTGTTGAGAAGAATTGATCGCCAGCAGCAAGACATAGTGTGTATGATGTAAACAATACTAATACTTGAGCTGCTGCATATCGAAATCGACACCAAATAAGACTTTTTTCAGTCGCATCATCGCCATATAAGCTTATTAAAATATTGATCGCAATAAACAAAAGTTGATTGAGAAGATTGGAAATCGATTCAACTGTCAAATAGAAAGCTGATCGATTATTTTGAAAGAGTTTTAACTGAGTAAAGGTAAGAATATTGAGAGTATTACCAATCATACCACTAATGATTGCAATGTAACTCGAATAAAGAGAATAGTGTATAGAAAACTGTAAGATTTCTGTCGACATTAATAATAGTGTAATAAAATAGTTGACATCATATTTTATTGTTTTACATCATACTCAACATTGGAATAACATACATAAAAGTTCAGTGTACTTTTATATCCTTTGAAATAAAATATACAAGCTTGGTTGAGGAATTAAATTTCATAAGTAATCCTATTCTCTAATGAAAATTTTGACGTTAATAATCTTTTGACGAAGATTGACGTTCAGATTTTTCTTCGTTTCCATCAAAGCTCATTAGCGGACGATCTTCTGCTCGTATTCTCCGAGCAACATATTACGTGTAAATAACTGATTCTGTCTTACGAACAAGGTCTTTCTGTGTTTACTCTTGGTTACAATTTTTGTAATAGTACATGCTCAATACAGAAGACAAAACAGATAAATGCAACAAAAAAAAGTATTGCGGAGTTCTTATGTTAACCATGTTTTGATGGGTGCGTCACAATTTTACCGTAGTATATATATGCATGCTCTGAGGAATACGAGAATTGTGTTTCAATTTGATGTAATAACATATCCCGCTTGTTTAATTAATTTGAGATTGTGACGCAGTTATTAAAAAATCTTAACAATATGACATGAAAATAAACTCAGACGAACGGAACAATCGAGATAATTATGCATTTACGTATCTTGGTTAAGTTTTTAAAAAAATCAATATTTACTTGTCGATTTATTTATTTTATTCGGATATATTAGACATACAAATTGGTGAATTCTTCGAAATCTACAACTTAAATTCAAAATTGTATCCGAATAGTTTTACAGTTAGATTAAGATCATCCACTGGATGCTTGTGGACAACTTTGTTTGTACGAAGTCTCTTCGTCACGTGGAATATTCACTGCACTTGCTGATTGACATGTTGCTGAGGAATTTTTCACGTTTTTCAATTGTAAACTCATGAAAAAAGCATCCTGTGAAGCAAATGTGTGATCACCGTAATAATATCCAGCGATGTGTCGAATGCAACGCATACCACATTTCAAATATAACGCCAAAGCACTTGCATTTTCTGTGTTCACATGTAATGTAACACGAGAAAGATTTGCTCTAATTGAATCTTTAATAAATTCATTCAAAAGCTTTGTTCCGAGACCTTTTTGACGATGCTCTTCCAAAGTGCTCAAAAAACAAACATATTCCGAATTATGGTATGCCTCACGATGAGCTAGAAGAAGTGCACTGATCTTGTTCAAGCCGACAGTTGAATTATTTGAGAAAAACGCCAATATTGTTGTTCCGCATTGTTGAAGAACATTAAAATAATGCCGTTGTGGCGCATCGAATGATTCGCGAAGATATTGTTCAAGATATCGGTTAACAAAATTGACTTGCGCTTGATTAATACCCGCTTTAGGTATCAATTTATACAAACGGTAATCTCTGTGATCACTCACAAACGTATACTGAATATTGGTCGATGCTTCTACGAATGAAATTGGTTTCGTTGGTAATCTAAGAGAAGAAGATACAATTAAACCGCGAAAATTTATGCAAATTCGATTTGTTTACTCCTGCTGTGAAAGTCTTTGCAAAATACAATTGATAGGTTGAATTGAGATGGTAATGATAGAGAATATCGTAAGAAGGAACGCTGTCATTTGAATATTGCTTTTTATGTACATTTTACAGAGAACAAAAAAAAACAGTCAATGAATGAAACGCCTTTTGCAAAGGATTTAAATATCATAACATCGTACTTTTCATCCGATTAAATGTCATAATTGATATTACGACAAAGTACAGAGTTTCTTATTAATTGAAATGTTCAGTCTACGAAAGGAGATTACTATAACGAGAGATTCTTGTGAAAAGCATTGTTTATTCGAACAAGTATTTTAGCGCGACTTTTAACATCATGTTCTTGTCTAAGGATGTTTTTCTTTCTGTGAAAATATGTGTGCATAGAATATTTTTGTGAATGTATTTCTTTTTTCATCTATATCATAGACAAAATTTCTCTTTTGTGTTATTTCGTTCTTATCTTAGTACTGATGTCACTCGATGATATATTTATTTCAAGTCTTTCGTACATTCATTCATCACCATTTGCACAAAAGTTTGATCAATGAGACGAAAATCTGTATTCACACCGAGTATTTCATCGGCATCGACATTGTCATCTTACACACCAGAAACCAAGTCGGATATTATTTCATTTGCCATTGGTAATCCAGCAAATAAAACTGCGGCAAAACTAAGTCAATTTAATGAAGATTTATTAGGTATGGAAGATGCAAAGTTGTTCACTAAACGACATAACAGTGAATTACAACGTTGTTCGCAATTCTATTCGTTAGCAAGTCTATTCCATGAAACAACAACGAAAGATAAACATCGACTGAACGGAAGAGATGTTCAAAAACTGGCTTCAACCGTACGAGGATTTCTTTCACGAATATTTATTTGCACTTAAATATGAGTTTTTCAACGTTTTATCGTTAGAATGAAATAATCGTATTCGAAGTGTCTGTTGATTGCTTCTTGATGAGCCATTGTCAATCCCAATCCGTTCTCATTGATGATGATTTTATGTTACACGAAAAATTTCGACTTTAAGGATTATTCGTTGAATAACAGTATAACAAAGAGATTAAATATGAGTAAGACTAAACCATTTGATATTTATACTAATCAAGAAAAAGTACGTAGATTGAAGTGGGCGTGTTGTATCATAAAGTGTAGAAACCTAATCGTCTATGCGATGAACGTTGATTTCGGAAGACTATGAGTATGGTGTCTTGATACAATTTATACCACTTTTCAAAAAATCAGTGTTTGTTCAAAATGGAATAACACTTTCCTTAGAAGTATCGTTAGACATAGTTTAAGAAACAAACTATTTTAGATGATATCGATCATATTTAGAAAAAGCCGACGACTATTCCAAGTAGCTTGATTAAAAATACAATAGAAGGGCAGATTTTCAACGACTAGTTGATCTCCTTGAGTAAACCAGTTTTTGTATCATACAAAAATCCTCTTACAGTAACATTTTGGTTGAGCATTGGATACTGTTTGTATTCGGCCATATCATCTCGAACGGATTGTTCTAAGTCTTCAATTGGCATGAAATCTGGCCGATCGCTCGCTGATACTTGACCAGGCACTGTTTGAAAAACAGGTAAATTACCCACATTTGTTCCGGGCTGTAGCTAAACCAATGTTTTGCAGTAAAGTAAATGAAAGAGAAAAAGTGAAATGGGAAACTGTACCTTGAGAGCGGCGATCACTTGATCATTATTCGAAAAATATGTAAAACCACAATCTGTATGATGGATGATCATCACTTCTTTGGTTTGTAACAATGTTTGACTACAAACAAGTGAACGCACTGCATCACGAATGCGACCACCACCTGAAAAACTCTGATAAGATTCATTTTTTTAAATCGAAATTTACCATTTCGAATAATATGCGCTTCGCCAGGTTTTAATCCAAGCATTCGAAAAACATCTAGACGTGCATCCATACAGCAGACAATCGCTAAGTGTTTCGAAGGTGGTGCACGCACATCATAGATTTTCTCATCATAATTTCGAGCATATTCAACGTTTTGAGCACAACATTGATCAATAAATGATTCCGAGGCGGAGAGGATATTCGAGTCAATCGCAGCTGCTATAACTTTATGCATTTCTTGTTATCTCTTACCACGAATGTGTTATAGAGAAAAATAAAGAGCGAAGAGAAACGTCAGAGGTCAGTAAGTGCAATAATTTTGATATCCAGGTAAATTTAATGAAAAAGAAAACAAACGAAAACAAAGATATCTTCGAAATATTTATTTCTTTGCTAAAGATTTAAATAGTTCATCTCCAACATCGGGCGCGGATTTTTTGATTAGATCGTCCACAACTTGTTTAGCAGATTCTTTCTTATCAAGTACATCTTCTTCATCAGGAAGGTAAGGCGCAACGTCCACTCGAAATTCTTCTGTTGATGGCGGACAATACACAGAACTTCCTAGAACGAATGGACCAGCTTTGGTTTGAGAATGTGTACACAATTGTTCGAGGAGAGCTTTAAAATTCTCTTCTAATTGTTGATTGGACATATTGATCTAAATGAAATTCGATTGGATAAAGAAACTAATTCGATGAAACTTACTATGCCAAACCGAAGTTCGACGATTCCACGAGCTTCTTCGTATTTAGCTGATTGATATTCTTTTCCACGAATGAATTTCTCTAACATTTTATCGACATTGGGATGAAGACTACCTAAAGATGAAATTTCGGTTTCCTTCTCATGACTGAATTGTCAATTCAAAATTCAAACCGAATTGAGGATTGGGAAATTTATCTTTTGAGATCTTTTTTCGTAGATGTAGAATATCTGCATAGACATCTGGTGCACATAAAACATATTCATAATTGGTATCAGTTACATCACCGCGTTCAAACTAGAAAACATCACTATTCAAAAAGAACAAAAAACGTTGAATAAGTCGTACTTGTTTAATGACATCGGTGTAACCAAACATGTAAGCACCATGTTTTTCTAATAAAACTCAGAGTTCGAAACGAAACAGTCAAGAGAAATAATCTCACCAGCTGCTTTCATATGTTCTGGGAGCTATAAAGAGAAAGAACGTTTTGGAAATGATATGAACAAAGAACTAATAACCTTACTCGACAAAAGAGAACAACGTTTTTACGCGGTCGATCTTCAAAATAATGAGGAAATGTTACTAGGCCTTTGACACTTTCAAGAAATTTTGTCTAAATACAATTATGTCCTTATTGTCAATATGAAATAATGGTTCGACCGACCTTTTTCGAAGTTGTCATATCCAATTTCAATCGTGCCCATACAAATGAATCCAGTGAATTGAGTATTTTTGGTTGGACCATTTCTCGATGCCAATTTAAAACTGTGTCCAATGGCCATGATTGCACTGGATACTCCTTTACTAGCCAAACTTTATCGATTGGTTTTCTTTTCGCAAATTCATCATCATAAACAGGTTCAGCCTCAGCAGTTCGTGATCTAAAGTACATCGAATCGATTGCAAGATAGAATCAATGTCATCCGTGACATACACCACTTTTTTTTGCATCCACGTATTACTTGGTTTTGCATGTGTTGGTACTCGATTCCGTTGAATTCGTCTTGCCATCTTCGTCCGTATTGCTGGTTGAATCTGAATTGTTGGACGAAGGAACGATGAAGCTGTTAAACCTGACCAAAGTTGTTGAACAAGCAGACTCGTCATTCTTAGTTTTTTATTTGATCTAAAACAATATGTTTTATCTGTTTTGCTAATTAAAATACTGCGACACATAAAAAGAAGAAAACTTAGTACTATTTCAAATTTCACTTCACTTTGGGCACAGTGAGTGTCCAGAGCAGAACAGAACGCAAAAGAAAATACATTGGATATCAACTCAGCCAAACAAATAAACGGAACAGTGAAAGAGAAATTACACGATACAGATGACGGTAAGGTGCTGTCAGCGAAACATAATCAATAGATCGTGAATATTATGTAATTTAATTGAAATAGATGAATGTATTTTATGATTTGTTTTCAAAACATGATTATCTTATGTCCTTATGTTTTCGAAGACTACACTTTCATATATTACAGTTCATCTAAAATCAATGGAATTCTAGTGAATCTACTACCGGCAATAGACTGTGAGTGAATCTACGCAGCTTTTGTTATCTCTCGTACCATCTTTGCGATACAAACTAGTCAATAGCATCAGGTGTCTCTTGCATTGTTTAAAACTTCCACCTTCATATGAGATGTAAAACACTGAAAATATTTGTATATTGACATGCAGAAGTCAAAGAAGTATGATTAAACTAGGGTGTGACTATTCTATGGGTCATCAGACACATCTTTACTTAAAATTATGCGTTGAAATTGTAGTAGAAGATAGATAATCATTGAATGCTATATTGTTGATCGACCATACTGTGTTACTTGTAAGATAGTTTGTAATTTATTTGAAAAGAAAACATTTAATAAGACAATATATTTTTAAAAGGAGAAACTATTCGATAAAACAATAATGAACATTTACCTAGGGTTTTTATTTTCTAGATTTTATAAATGAAATTGTAATGAAAATATCAAAGAAAAAACGAAAATTTTGTTGGGCACGATATCCTGAAAATATCCTTTATTGTATCTTTGTAATTGTGTTCTAAATGAATAGATTTTTTCAAATTTACTTCTCAGCATAGAAAAAAATCATCTGATTTTCATTTGTTCATGATGAGAATACATGATCAACATTTCTGTTAGGTATCTATCCATCCCTCATCCTCAGATTATGATCGGTTTTAACAGACTCTCTACTATCGATGCCAATCTTTGTTAAGAGAAACCAATTTGAAAGACGCTTGTCAATTTATTAATCTTGAAAATTCTTCAAGAATTATAATCATGTTACGTTATTAGCGTATATTTTGAACCTTTTAAACTTGACACCCATATAATAGACGCACTTCAAGGATATCAGTAGGACTAAAATTTTCACGAACACCAATTTGAACCCCCGATTTGTTTGGGAACTATTGTTGGTAAACCATTCTTGGAAAGATCGTTTACTCCATAGTGTAGAATTGAGTCATAATCATAATTCGTTTCTAAATCAGTCGCTGTTGTACCCCATTCTGTTTTCTCAAAGTCATAGTACTACAGAAAAAAACAACAACATATAGTTAACTTTATATTATAGTAATAGATTAATGATTTATTCGCTTTGTTTAAATGAAGAACATCTATCATATTTTGCTTAGTGTTTATTACCCGTTCTGAATCGATATTGTCATAATGAACTTGAATATAATTATCACGATCAGGTCGTTGATGCTCATGTCTAAAATCTATTAAAATAAAGAAAAGAAATAAATTCGATTAGAATATTTAACATACTAAGAACATGCATTAGTTCATGTTGAATAATCCTACTAGTAAAACAAGTTCCACCTTCAGATTTTTGCAATGTCAACTTTAATGGATAATTTTTCCAATAACCAACCTATTCAACAGAAATACCGAAAATATAGATTAATATTGTTCCATGATCATTATTTACATGTGCACTACATCCTTTTCCATAGACAATGGTAAGATAAGTAGTATCAGTATGTAAACGTGGTCGAAAATAAACACAACTCTCGCGTGCCTCTGATCCCGCAATTGGCGAGCCAGTGTCATACATAATACGATGCATTGCATTCTCAATCATTAGACGATCTTCTGCATCTAAAATAGAAACAAAATAACTGCATCGGATCAAGTCGAATCGAAATGTAATTATATGAATGAATATCACAAGACGCTCTTACTAATTATTCGCATTCAATTCTTAGCTCAACTTACCTGTAATAGGAGAAATATCGTAGGGAATAATTCCATAAGGCCATTTAGTCGTTTCAGTGACGGCAACACCACGAGGTGCCATGCCAGCCAAGGGCGTAGGAAACAACATATCATCACCAAAAATATTACCTAGAGACGATTTTGAAAAGATTAAAATGTTTACATTTAACTCTTTCAGGATTGTACTCAGCTTTTTCCTCAAATCTTTTCAAAAATATTTACATTTTTTGAAGAAAAAACGCTCGATAGTTAGAGTTTAGCACATTTCAGATATATTTCCATGGTTTTCATATAGTTAATAGCAAAGACAATAGAATAAATACCAAGTTTCTTAGTGTTCATTCGTTTTGTATTGATCGATGATGAGAAATTCCTTGCTGGTGGAAATATCTAAATAAACGATATTAACATGAGAATCAAAAATAGATAATTAAAGGACTTACTGGAATTCCAAAAGCCAAGACGAATAAATGTAATACAAGAAAAATAAAGATCTTTATCATATTTCTTTCTATTCCTAATAGACAAAAAAAGAGCAATCAATTGATACCGAATATTACCTTATATATACCATTTCATTTAATACCTTGAAATTAATACTTTAACTTTTAGCAAAATAAAAAAAGATTACCTATCAGGACTTGTGTTTCTGAGAAAAAAACCTGCTTCTATTATTCGAATGTCATGATTTGAAATCAATTAAGCGTCAAACATGGTATTAGGGATAAAAAGAAAATCTCAGTTACATTATCTCGGAAAAGTCACGATAATAACTCATAGATACTTGACCGTAAAACGGTCGTACACAAATGACTTACAACAAACTAAATATTACCATTGGATACATTGACAAAAATTAGGATTTCGCTAGAAGACTTTAGTTTCTTATGGGATTTTTTTCGAATTTCTGAACATAATGAAAGCTTATATAAAATCTGATGAGAATAATACCATCACTTATGCTTCGTCAATTTTCTATCAACAAATCAACCCACGAAAAACTTGATAATTCAAAATTGTATTAACAAAAACTGTTATTCAGTTACACAATTATTACATGTTCCTTTTCCTACAACATCCATGACTTTTACAGCGATAAAAACCAAATAATCACATGAAATGTAACTTTTTTCCATCTACGAAATGCATAACTATCAATCAGATAACTTCTCGAGATGAGAGATTAGTCGTTCTCCAGTCACTTGTTATATGCTTAGTTTATTAATTACTTTCACCATTTCTCAAAAGTATTGTCAACGTTAACTGAGTGCTAACGCTGATACTTGTATGCATCTTAGTGTTTAGCATCAATATGTTGTAAGATCTTGAAATTTAGATTTCGTTCACATTAATCTGTATAAGTGGGTATGTTCTTTGCATAGAATTTGCAAAATTGTGTCTTAGTTTGTTTATTTGATCTAAAAATAAGTTTTATTTACTTTGCTAATCAAAATGCCGAAGCATACATAAAAAAATAGAAGAAAAAACAATGTCATGAAAAATATTTTGCGAAAAACACTTTTGATACTGCAGTAAGAGAGACAATTATTATTGGAATTGCATAATAGAACATTGAACGTGGAATGCGATAGTGTTGATATTTACGATCTAAATGCAGAAAGAAAAATCCAATGAAGTTCAAAAACAATCGTATCTACTTTGATTCTCAAACGTATACTGATCGATAGTATCATCTTGTGGTTGATCTTCTGGTCGAAGTGCTACTAAAACTTCCGATGCAGCACGTCGTCCCGCATCAACTGCGCCATCCATATAACCCATCCATTGTGCAGCAGTTTCTGTTCCAGCAAAATGAATATTTTTATATGGTTTCCTTAGACCATCGACAAAATCTTTCATCGAACCCGTCGTAGCATTATGACAAGGGCATCCGCCAGAATATGGCTCTAGATTCCAATCTTTTTCTGCATATTCAATTAGATGTGCAGAAACTTTTTGACCACCAAAGTATCTCGATAAACATTCCAGTAAACCCTTGCGACGTTCCTCACGTGTCACACTTGTCCATACAGCAGCGCATCGACCACCGATAAATCCTAACAGAGCAGGTGTGCCATATGAAGTTGTTCCATCAATTAGATCTAGACAAGAAAAACAATGTTTGCGGCATATTCAGAAGAATTCTCATTGTTATTTACATGTCATTGGGCCAATGGAAAGGCCAAGTGGTGCGAAACTTCCATCACTGACAACTTCACCACTAAGACCATCGTCACGCCAGAACGCCTATAAAGTTAATACGAAGTTTGAAAATTTTCAGAAGAAAATAGTTAAAGTACTTTATCAAAGATAAAAATAAACTTTATATAACTACCAATAGGCATATGCTTAAGCATTTCACGTTTGTAACCAGGTAACATCGGTTCAAATTGTATCGGAACTAAACTAAATAGTGTTGTGAAGCATTCTCAAACGAGTTAAACTTACTGATTTGCGAGGGCGGAATAGCAAGAATAACTTTACGACATTGAAATTTAATTTGATCACCAATGGTAGTAATTTCAACAATACCTAAAAACGTACATTGAAAAAACGAATTAGATTCTAAATTTTACAAACCATCATCATTTTGTACAATCTTCTGAACAGGTGTTTGCAGCAAAACTTTATCACTTCCAATCTTTTCCAAGAGCTTCTCGGATATTTGTTGAGACCCACCCTTAAATCGATCAAATTAACAATTTCAGTATGATGAAATCAATCTGTCTTACTTTAATCTTCTTTTCTTGTGCACAACCAGGATCAGTTAATGTCAATCTCAGAAATCCTCCACCAGCTTGAGCATACGTTAATCCAAATAAAGCATTCAATTGTTCTGGTTCGCATCCAAACACCGTTCGGACAGCTGCTACCATCAATGGATTCATACCTATCGAACAATCATTTTACCATAAGTTTTAACGATTTTCGTAGGCCTACTATTATGAATCCATGGTTTCATTAAATCGGCAAATGTACGCTGATCAAGATAGTTTGAATTTCGTGCATTCATTGGATTCCACGTTGGAATATTCGATGCTAAACTTTCAAGCTGTGATAGAGATCAAAGAGGATAGTTGAAAAATGCTCATTGATGAGATTTCTTACTCGAAAAACATTATAGATACTTTCAAGAAATGAAAGTAATGAAACAAATGGCATAGTTAACGAATATTGGCGAACACGACGATGTAATTCGGCAATACTTTTACCGGTATGGTATTGCGCATACGTTTCCAATTGTAACTCCTGAAGTAATGAAGTCACATTGTCCTGTGTACTGATATAAATCAAGTGAAAATGAATTTTGCAAAAAATCGATTCTGTTATCTTACTCTGTAACCCATTGACCACCCAAATCAAATCGATCGGTGACATTCTCTTCATGAGAAGACTTTAAGTCAACCGTTAACGTTCGACCACCAACTCGATCTTTGATTCAGATCAAATCAGTTACATAAAAAGAGAACGTCGTTTTTTTTAAATTTACCTTTGGCTTCAAGAACCAATACATTCAAATGTGGTGCTTTCTCTTTCAATCGATAAGCAGCGTAGAGACCGGATATTCCTGCTCCAACCACAATCACATCGATGATCTCTGCTTCGTCCGACATCGAAATTCTTTTCCTTTTTTTTTCAATCTAAAACTAAAACTCATCGGTGAAAAGTTCATCACAAAGAAAGAAAAATATCATTGCATGAAAGCAAATAAGGCAGAACCATACGCAGCATCGGAATGTTCATTAAATTTTACTTGACATTGCACTCTGTTTTGAATTTCTCGTTGTAGAACGCCATTTCTCATCAATGCGCTACCTGTTCCAATGATACCATTGATTGTCGAAGAATCATTTCCTAACATCTCGAATAGATTCTTTATAATCCAATGGCAAATTGAACGAAAAACAGAACCAACATCATTTAGTTGAGACATATGAATTGAACGAATGTTTGTTAATGAAGCGGACATCGATGGATCATGTCGTTCACCAAAAAGAGCAGCGGAGATATTCTCGATGATTGAATTTGACTCAAGTCCTCGCTGAATTAATCGTGACCAAAGTGTATCAAGTGATAATGACGAAGAATCACTGTTAATTGATGAGTTCCATGAATGAACGAGATGAACAAAAGCTGAAAGAACATTTCCACCATTCAATGAAGCAGCAACTAATAAATCTTTAGATTGAAAATAAGGAACACGCATTGGCGATAGAAGCTGATCGTGATTCGATGATTGTTTATCGGTAACTAAAGCCAATTGTGCTGATGTCGATATGTTAATAATTCCTTCATTCTTCTCCGGTTGACAACTGAATACTGAGCACTGTAAATCACCGAGAGCGACATAGATGGGAATCTTCTTTTTGTAATAACCAATAATCGTACCAGGTTCGACGATTTCTGGTAGTAATCGATGTTTAACAGGCCATTGATTATCGATTGCACCCCAACTAGTGGCCATCTGAGTTGATATTTGTGATTGATCTGTTACTTCATCATCGCAGAAAATCGTTGCAACATAATCTGCAATAGTTCCTGCTCGATCATATTTCAATAAATCGTCGTCTTTGCCTTTTTGTTGTTCCATTAGCCATAATAAAGTTGCTAAACCGTAACCAGTTCGTAAATGTGTTAACATTGATCCGAGTGATGAGAGAAATTCGGTTGAACATCGTTGATCTTGCCAAGTAACAAGAGAAGAAACAATCGTACGCGGTGATTTCGATGACCAAAGAATCAAACCATGCATTTGACCACAAATTTGAATTGATTTTATCGATGAATCGTCTTTCAAATAAGTCGATTTTTTGAAAAGTTCATTCACAATATCAAGAATTTTTACAGGGGATTGTTCATCGTACGAAGGAAATTCTTTCTGAACAATATGAGCATGATGAGGAAGTTGTTCCGTGAATAGAACTGAATGTTGTGCATCGCACGAAACAACACATATTTTACAAGATGTTGTTCCGATATCTAGACCGACAGAAAACATCTAAAATAGAATAAGATAGGTTATCAATTCTAACACAATAGAAATCATTATCTCAATCCTTTACAAAACAAAAAAGAACAAGGTATTTCAAGTATACTCTTATTTTTTATGCACATCATTCGCTGATAAGCGGGACGATATAGATATTCTGTATTAGTTTACAACAAAAATTAATTGAATTTTAGGCTCATTATCTTCTAGATATTTAAGATCTTCGTATACCTACAAAATACAATCGAATGCAAATGGATAGACTGTAACACCCATTCAACGACAGGTATGACAGAGGTCAGTGTCTATCTGAAAATTCCTTTCTGCAAACATTTTAGACTCCTAGATACAATTAGTCAAGTGCTTTTATACGTCAGATCGAGTTTGAGCTTACTTGTTACTCAACTTTGCCGTAGCAGAACAAGGAAGCGAGATTATCCTAAAGTCAATATTCGATATATCCGTTTAAAGACGAGATTAATACAATTTGTTTCATATCTTAAATAAATATAATAAATGAGAAAAACACAACTATCACAAAATCGAGCTAGAGCTCGAAATAATGTGTAAAACTATGATGAGATTGCTTCGATGAGAGGCGCAACTGCAAGACGAATATCCGGTTCAATACGATGATGTCTGTTGAACTTAGGACAACATCTCTTGTTAAAGAATTGTCTCGTTTGATGACGAAATCGCGGCGAAATAAACAAATATATATATAAATTACTCTGAAAAGAAACAATGATGAAATAATCTACACTGAGAACAGTTTTCATGACTTACGGAATAGCTGGCATACAACAATGAATACGATATCGCGGACGCTAACTGATAGATCGCCAGTTTGTTTTCATTTTCTTCGTTATCATTCAAATTGATTTCATATAGAGTTGTGCAAAGAAATGGAGAGCCCAGTATGGCAATAGACAGCACTCGTGCAAGAACGATGACTGACATTTGACGATCGAGTCGACGACGCATCACTATCATTCGTCGTCGCATATGCCATTGAATGTTTCGATAAACCAAAAGACCAAGTAAGCCGATGAACGTCAAAGGAAGAATGATAATGAAAATAGGATAAAAGAACACTTTGAAGTACGTTTTCACGACCGGGTTGTAAATGGCACATCCGAATTTACCGTTTTCAGCGAATATAATGAAAACAATATTATGTGAGATTGAAAAACAAACATTGAAGAAAGTCAAACGATGTGCTAAGCGAAGTGTACTCATTGCTTTCCATTGTTGTCGTGGATTAGTCGATAGGTACTGGTCAAAAGCAAGAAAACATGTTGTGATAAGTGAACACAAAGCCAATATTGAACAAACGGTTAGTTGAACTTTACACCAAATAGTTGAAGCATTGACTGGACTTTCTCCGAATATTTCACCAGCAATTTTAAATGGAAGATATGCAAAAATTAAACCGATATCAGTAATCGATCCAACGATTAAATAAAATATGCAATGATTCTTTCGACATGTCCTTGTAGTTGAAAGTATTAAAATAATGAGAATATTACTGATACTTCCAAGAATTAAATTAATTATACTGCTGTAAAATGTATAGTTTTTCGTTAGATTTTCAATCTGGTAAATAATCGGCTTTGAGGACATAATTTGTCCCGCGCGTTTGAGTGCAGATAGATGAAAGAAATGTTCCACAGATTTAATCTAACTGTTTCAGAATGGAATAAGAGAGAAGAACAAAATAATATTTTAAAGTATGAATAAATATGAAACAATGACTTTATCGACATGTTTCCGGGCGTAGAAGTATGTATTTAATGATTACCATGATATGAATGACAGTGGCCAGAAAAAATAATCGTTATCGAGTCGGAAGTTTTATTTGGCAATTAATTAACCTTTGTACCACCACCCCTCGTTTCCCATTTTTTATGCACATAAATAAGCTATTTTACAGGATATTCGGATATGATTGTCTATCTTATCTGAAAACCGCCCCTATATTTTAAAAACTTCGTATTTTTCTACCCTGAAGACCGCTACCTGACACAGCCGCTTCGCACCCACACCCTCAAAAATATCCTACGGTGACCCGGACTCATAGCAGTACCGCCAATCTCACTTACAAACTTTCTGTAAAATATGCAAACTCAAAACAAATTCCTGGCGTAGTTACATTCACTACTATGTGAGTCTAAAATTATACAGGTTGGGAGTAATAGGGTTAAGAACATGAAAAATAATGTTCAATGTAATCATTCATACAGATTCGACGATGGACATAGCGACACGTTTAGTCCCTGGTGAAATTTGTTTGTTTGTTCATCTGTGCGAGTGTTCTTCCACAACAGATTTATTTTAATTGGTGCTAACACTTTTTTTGTGATAAAATGTTTTACCTGGTGCCGAAACCGTGATAAAACAAGTGGAAATATATGAAAACTAGTCTACGAAATTCAAGATATCATATAAGCTAGTTAATTAAAATAACTTACGCTATAATTCGTGTACAGTACCGAGACCACAACTGTGCCTGATAAATAATGAACAGATTGTTCTACTGGAATTTGTCTTCGAATAATTCGACGAACATTTTGATAGGCCAACAAACTAAATGTACCACTGACTATGATTGGAAGAATGCCACTCAGTATTGGATAATAAAAATATGTAAAATAGACTTGTGCAATAGGATTGTAAATGCTACATCCTCCTATACCAGAGTAAACGCTGAGCTCACTCAATAGTGCTCGTTTATCGATGATTTGTGGATAGGTATTGATCAAGAGCAATGCAACACATTGTGAAAATAGAATATAAAGCACAAGTGTATATGAACATCAATTGTATCTTACACCACATCCAACTACATCAGTCCTAACAAATTTACATTTAAGATAGAGCCCGCAGTGTTAGATGAAAAAAAAAACAAGTGAAACGCCCATATCAGTGATTGAACTGATTTTTAAATAATAATCACATCGATTTCCGCAAAATCTACGTTCCCAACCGAAAATGTCAAATTTCAACATGTTGCAAATTGTCTCAATGAAGAGATGAATTGTAGTTGTAGAGAGCATGTAGTAGCTGTCTATCGTTGTAACTGGGTGTACTGTTTCCAATGGTGACATTTTTAACAAGATCACCGGCATCCTGTGCACTTGCTGCATTCTGAGGAGAAATGTGACTTTTGTCAGATTATATACCAGTAAATCGAATCACTTGTTAACACATCTACTTTTTCGACGAATAAACTAATAGAAATAAATAGAATGTTATATGTTCTTTGAAGTTTCAGCTTTCTGTTACTCTCAGACGAGTTCTTTCAGTTCATTTAAACATGCTTCTGTTTATGAAGAGATAAACCTTAAGAAGAAATCTTTTGTCAGCATATCCATTCAATTAAATATACGGTTGACGGCATATATTAGTAGTCATGTTAGTTTCGCATTTGTATGTTCCTTATTCTCTATGGAAGATTTGATGCTAAAAATAATTTTAGAAGGACTTGTGTGACTGGAATTCTTGTTCGTGTTGTTACCTCAATAACAGGGATTTTCTATTTAATAGGCAACAAAAAATTCTATGGAACCATGAGACAAATAATTGAAACCTCCAGTCTACAAAATGAAAAATAAAATAAAATTCTATAGTTTGACTCTTTCTTCCTGTATTGTTCTTCTAGTACATATTAATCAACATGCGATCATGTTTCCTTATTATTACGTGCTTCCGAATTATGACGTCTGAATGCGAGTGTTACATAGTTAAAATTTTATTCAAAAAGAATACATGAGTAAATACGCAGGCACTTCGAACTTATTGATAACTGAGATCCGAAGATTTATTCAATAAATACTGCAGATATGGGTAATAGATAATACATTGGGCACAGTCAGACTAGTAGCTGATCACAGATAACATGGCGAATCCATTGGTATACTAATAAATCAAATTTAATGCTGATCGTTCAGTTCATCAGAAGATGTCAATCGTCGTGTTGGGTAAAGATTAGTACCTCTTATGTACAGGTACTTAAATTAACATATTAGAAAAATAGTCGATGCGTAAATGGGAAAGCTTGGAGTTTAGATCAAATTTGAAAGCAAATTTTGTTCCGAAGGCTTGTAGTGAATAGATTCGATGGACGCTTGACATGATGTAAACAGAATCTTTCATTGCTAATTAATACGGTGCGTTAGCATCGTATTCTTGAGTTTCATCGCGTCTTTTTATACTCTTTCTTTCTAGACAACCATCCAAAGTCCATTTTTAGTGACGCGGTGATCAAAGGATCGGAGCGTCGTTGGACTGTAGGATAAACGCTGTCGAGCAGTTAGCTAGGTGAAGATGAGATATTTTTTCTCAGAATTTCATAAACTATTGTCGTTTGCCCAAAATAAAACACGGACTCTGTGGTAAACTGTGGCGAACATCTTTCAAGCAGTGGAGATAATTAAAAGACGAGCAGGCGCGAAAATATTTGTCAGAAATGTGCTCTGATTAGTTGAAAAGGCAATTAATGAATGCGGCGACCTCATGTCTCTCTAGATTTTAGTTCATAGAGGCTTCGATTTGAGTACTTTCTTTATGACTTCTGTCAATTCAAATTTGCTATCATTAAATACAGTCCTAGTGAGCAATTCATTTTGAACTATGTCAACTAGAAAAATTCTAACTTCAAACTACATGGTTGCAGAAATAAACTATTCATTCATCTAAATCGAATGAAGGTATCGGCGAAACTTCGCGCACCGTATTTCGCGGTCGGGCGAAGCCTGACAGCCCGTCTAGTTAATATATAAGATGTATAATACGAAATCATAAGTTGAATGACGAGAGAAATTCGCTTATCACCAATGAAAAGTGAATGTTGCATACAGCCGCCGTTTACTGTCCGAGAAGCCTCAAAGTGATCAGCTAATAAATGTTGATTATCAATGCAAATTGCAATACAACGAAAAACGGAGCCCGGGAAAACTATTAATAGAGGAGCGACGCATATCTTTGAATAAACATGAACTCTATACTGATACTGAACACGTAGACAATAATCCGTTCGGTTCGAAATGTTTATTTACTTAGAAGAAAACCTTACGATCCATGTAACCAGTGCCTACGTTATCATTTAATTATCGTTATTATAATCATTATAATAGCAGCAATTGCGTGTTAATGCAACCACCGACTACATGGGAAGTGCAGAAAATTACCACTTTCTTCTCCTTCACTCCATATATCCTCATCATTTCACACATTTCAGTGAGTCTATTTTTCAACTATATAGATTCAAGAACAGATGCACGACCACCACCAGGGTCATTCTCGGGTGCGATAACTTGATTATTTATTGGACTGACCATTCCTCGATTACACACTCGTGTCACTTGATGCCAAGGTTTTTTTATAATAAAATTTTTCGCTTGGTGACGAAATCGAGGCGAAATGATCAAAAACATGTAGAAATCGATCTAAAAAGAAACTTTCAATTGTTTCACTGTTTGTCGAAATGCGATCAAACAGAGTTCACTTACTGAATAGTTAAGGTACATAAATGAATATACTATTGTTGCTGATAAATGAAGAACAGCTTGTTTTGCAGGATCTTGCAGACTATTTCTCGAGTTAATGTCAACTAGGCTGTAACAGAGAAATGGCACGCCTAATACGATAATGCACAATACTCTGGACAGCGCTAATGCAGTCATTTGACGATCAAGTCGACGACGAACTACTGGAATTTGCATTCGAATAATTCGACGAACATTTTGATAGGCCAACAAACTAAATGTACCACTGACTATGATTGGAAGGATGCCGCTCAGTATTGGATAATAAAAATATGTAAAATAGACTTGTGCAATAGGATTGTAAATGCTACATCCTCCTACACCATAGTTAGCGAAAATTAGAAAGAGAATTCCGTGAAATACGGCAACACTCATATTGAAACATGACAAACGCTGTGCCAACTTAATAGTGCTCATTTGTCGCCAAGTTTGTCGATGATTTGTGGATAGGTATTGATCAAGAGCAATGCAACACATTGTGAAAATAGAATATAAACCACAAGTGTATATGAACATCAACTGTATTTTACACCAAGCCGGACTCAGTCCTACCAGTTTTATCCCTAATACAGAATCTACAACTAAAAATGGAAGTGTGGCCACCAAAACGCCTGTATCAGTGATTGAGCTGATTTTTAAATAATAAGCGCATTGATTTCCACGAAATGAACGAATTTTTGCGAAAATAATAAATTTTAACACATTACCAATTGTTCCGATGCAGAGAAGAATTACACTTGTGTAAAGTACATAGTATTTATCTATCGTTGAGATCAACTGTACTGTTTCGAATGTAGACATCTTCGATACAACCGTCCTTTACTTGACAGCGTCCGAGTTTCGAGGAGAAGCTTGACTTTTATTAGATTATATAAACAAGGAAATAAATGGAACGCTCTGTGTTCTACTGAATTTCATTCTTTTTCTAAAAACAAGTTCCATCAATTCACTCAAGCGTGTTTCTTGTAAAAAATTTGTGTTTTGAAGGAGAAAATTTTGTCTCAACACCCAGTCAAAATAGGTATACGTCTGGCTGAGTATACCGACAGTGACGTCATTGTGAATAGCAGAGAAATAGATAAAAACTTCTCGAAATCAAAAGTAATCAAATTGAATTTCAGAAAAGATTTTCTTTCTTACTCCATAAGCTAAATATAACGCTGAATAATCAATTACACCTACCAATGCAACAATATCTACTTTCAATTGATTATTGACTGATACTTCTAGATAATGTACGGTAATTCAAGTACAATCCGACTGGTAACACATGTTAAAGCCATCGCTGTCATTTGTTGATCTAAGCGACAACGAACAAGAGAAATTTGTCTACAGATAATTCGACGAACATTACACTAAGAAAATAAGCTTAGTGTGACAGTGATCACTAATAGCAAAATATTATTCAGAATTGAATAGTAGCAGATTGTCGAATACATCTTCATCTCTTTGTTAACTACCGTACATTCCATAGGTAGATAATAAATGTAATATTGTGTAAGATGAAGTCGTCATGAATTGATCGAACGATTGGAAACAGTTTAAAAAGCGAACAAAGACAGAAAAAGTGTGAAGGTGTAAATAAAAACTTGCGCCAGAAGTATGACGTTCGCGTTGGATCAACACCAGTGAGACAAGTGTAGAAATATACCGAAAAAGGACAGCAAACAATCCAATGGTGGAAATAAATTCAATTACAAAATAAAAAGCAAACTGGTTTATTCTAAAACACCGTAAAGTCATAAATACAATAAGAGTAGCTAAATTTCCAGTTATTCCGGTGACAAAAACAACAACATTACTATAAAACGTATGTTGCAGTCCTGAGGCACGAGGCATCGATACGAGCATTGAATTTATCACAACTTGTGTAGACGACAATAACTCAAGAACATTGATGGAATATCTTTCTATAAGATGAAACTTGCTAAGAAAATATATGCCAGATCAATCTTGCGTTAACGTGTGACACAAGAGATGAAAAGTATCGATTACTAGTCAATTTTTATTTATCAAGAAAAAAAGTACATGTGTTCTTTGGTATCAGAAAATTCGTGAGTTTTGATAAAGGGATGAGCGAGTCGAAAGTTAAATTCAATTATGTTTGACATTATGAGAAAAAAATTACATTGTTTCCGCAAACTCATGACAAGAGCATTAGCAGACGCACTCTGCCAACGTCTGTTAACGTTTCATGGAACAACGAAAAAGAAAAGATATGAAAGCTTATTCTTTTTAATCAGAAAATAACAACGCATCTGAGATAAGAGCGCTGGCCAAGAAAGAAATTGTGTATTCATGCATCAGCAGAGAACTGTTATCTATATAATTGACACTTGAAATACATTACCAATGAACCAGTAAGTAAAGGATTATGAAAAATATGTTGTCACTCATTCAGACCATTTTGTAGGAAACTTTGAGACGAGCAGATGCTGAACGTGTCGTTGTCTTTAGGAAATGTTTTAGTCTAGTTTTTTAACAGTACATTTAGGAGTAACAAAATGCTCGTTAAATTTGGCTTCATGGCATGAAATACGGCAGGAAAAGTATTGTTATATGTTGAGCGGTATGCCTCCCAAGTCTACATTCGTTTATTAATTTGATAATGTTTTCTTCTGATGTATTTAAATAAAATGACACAATTGCTCGTTAGAGTGATTCAAAATACTGATCATCAAATATCCTCAATGATGCAAGGCATATTTTGCGTGTACTGACTCCTCGGATAACTTTAGTACCATTTGAATCATTGGATCAAAATTGTTCAACTGTTCACTGTCCAGCTCTCTTGCAATTAAGTCGATCGGCATTTAATCTTTTGCGAATCGTCTTCGTCGTCTTGCTGGTCGTTTTAATGAACCGCATACACTGTGTATGATTTTACTTACAATTCATTATTTCGACGAAGTAGAAAATCATGTAAATTCGACCTACAACATCTTAACTTAACGTGTAAGAGATCTTTTCATTTAAAATATTTCAAGTAGTTTGAAATATTTGTTATCGTTCTGTATGTCCAATATACCTGTACTGACTTTTCAACTTCAGAAATCATTCCTTATCTGAATTTCTGATTAGAGTAACAGTTAGAAATCAGGGACTTCTATAGAATTTTATGAATTAAATCAGGCTGATTAACATTCCTTTGTTGTTGTGTGCCATCCTGACAGACGTGAACTTCACGTTGTTCCTTCTGAAGTCAGCAACGATTTCTATTACATGCGACAACCTACTTCACAGTGGGTGTTGCATGAGTTAATTGAGACAATCAACTAAAATATTTGGAAACTCACACCCTCATCCTCAAGACGAATACAACGATATTTCAGTAAGTCTATTTTTCAACTATACAGATTCAAGAACGGACACACGGCATGGATCATTCTCGGGTGTAGATTGGTTATTTACTGGACTGACGACTTCTTGATTGCACACTCGTGTTACTTGACGCGAACGTTTTTTCAAAATAAAGTTTTTAATTTGATGTCGAAAACGTGGTGAAATGATCAAAAATACATAGAAATTGATCTAGAACGAAAGTTCGGATTCACTGGCTAGTTTTTCAAAATGACTCCACTTACTGCATGATTAACATACAGCAATGTATATGTGATTTTCACGATAAAACTGAGTATAGCCCTTCCTCTTGGATCTTGAAAACTATATATGGTGTTTGCTTCAACAAGACTGGCAAGAAGAAATGGAACACCCAATATGAAAATGCATAATACTCTCGCTAGAGCTATGGCTGTCATTTGACGATCCAGTCGACGGCGCACTACTGGAATTTGTCTTCGAATAATTCGGCGAACATTTCTATATGCCAGTAAACCCAACGTACTGCTGATTGCTAATGGAAGGACCCCACTCAGTATTGGATAATAGAAGAAAGTGAAATAAATACGAGCGATCGGGTGATAAATAGTGCATCCGATTATACCAATTTCCGCAAAAATTAGAAAGAGGATTCCGTGAAATACGGCTACACTCATATTGAAATATGACAAACAATGAGCTAGTCTGATTGTGCTCATTTGTCGCCAAATTTGTCGATGATTTGTGGATAAGTATTGATCAAGAGCAATGAAACATATTGTGTAAAGAGAATACAGACCACAACTATATGAAGACATCAGTTGTATTTTGCACCAAATCACGGTGAGTCTTGCAAGAATTTCGTTGATCAAATAACCCACGATATTGGATGGAAGCATAGCGATTACAACGCCCATGTCGGTAATTGCGCAAATTTTTAAATAGTAAGCACATTGATTTCCACGGAAAATACGTAGTTTCGTAAAAAAGAAAATGATTAACACATTACCGATTACTCCAGCAGTCAGAATAATGATGTCTGCAGACAATTCGAATATTTTGCTTATATAGTAGATAGATTGTACTGCATCCAGCGTTGAATTCATCTCCATAGTCGCATTATTTTCTTTGGCCATTTGAGGAAAAGTTGTCTTCTTACTCTATAGACGGATAAACTAAGATAGTAATTGACTTCGTTAAAGCAAACGTATTACCATGTGACTCTTTTTCCTGAAAATATCTTCAAGATAAATTAAAATATGATAATCGGTGACTAACGGATTAGAATGATTTATACAGAAGAGGAGCAAATTAAGTAACGAAATACATTAAGTCCAAGTTATTTTGCTTATGTGAAAAAAAAGCGAAAGTTTGATGAAAAACTCTTGCTATTAGACAATGACTCTGGTATTGATACTCGAAAGAAAGACGAATACAGCATAATATATTCGCAAAGACAATGCAGACGATCACAATCTGTCCGATTTTGTTGATGTATATTGATTGATAGTGAAAAACTCTGCTTTTCTCTTCGAGTAGGTATGAAATACATATCACGTCCTTCGGACAAACATAACCATTTCGTATGATTATATTAGTCAGCGATAATTGATGCACGAAGTGATCAATATTCAGTAGATGATTATTCTCTTCTTCATTTATATTGGTTGATTCAAAGTTTCATGAAAGAATGAATGACATAAGCACCGGCTTATTCAATCTGATACAATTTGTGTCTATTTCGATACGTTATTATGTTCACAGAAATAACTTTAAGTAATCGACTTTTCGTCCTCTATAATAAATCTCTAACAATATTCTAAAAGGCTGATTGAAATGACATGGCAGATGATTTGACATCACTCTGGTAGCGAAGCCTACAAACGGATGGTCAAAACTGAAACGTTTCTTCAACTATATTCATTAATGACTATAATGGTAAACAATTTCGGAGGCAAACATCTTGAAGTGAATAAGGAATTTTTTGAACAGAACTTCAACCACACTGTATAGATCATGGATGTTCAAGTCGAATGGACACATCATGACAATAGCTATAGATACGATTACAAATATGACGACGTCATGATTCAAGTAGAAATAAAGATCAGCAAGGATGGAATGCGACCAACAGCAGAATCTATTTATCATAAAATGTCACCGCTGAACTTATGCCTTATCATTTTAAAATCATTAATTTGAAATTAACGAAATTATACATATTAGTTGCCAGACAGAAATGCTTCTAAGCCAACCAAGATGAGTTAGCATCCTTAAATAAAGATTATCTTGATCGCAAATAACTGTTGCTAAGAAAAGTCGAGGAAGATTTTGTGGAATTAATTCATCAAAGTTGTCTTTTCCCATCATACGCTATTACGGATAATATTCGTACGTAATTAAGTAAAATAAAGATTATTAACACTTGGCTTAACGTATAATACTTAAACGAGTGAAAAGTCGCTCTTACTTAATCTTCTATTTCATTATTGACTTCGATTGAAAAAGTATACAAACTCTCCTGTGAATATAAGTGCGGCAGAATTGAGGAACGCACGACAATTGATTGTATATGACTGTGGAAAATAAGACAAATGAAAACAATCGACACGATATTATTCTATACTGTTGTTTTTCACTTAGTAAATCCAGGTACCACTGAACATCTTGTTATTACTTGATCGATAGATTAAACACTTTCATAGACATTCCTTTTCTAAAAATTCGACTGTTTATCTTGAATAGTCAATTATACATGAGTCATTACGATGTTATTCTTATACAGTATATACAGATGATTTTACAGAGTCTACATCGGACAACACCGTATGAATGGTTTCAAGAACCGCTGGATTCCTGCAACGCATACTAGCTAATACTACATAGGACTTTTTTTCACTACTCTATGTGTCATTTGTCAAGGAAAACGTTCAGACGGAAACAGATAAAAGTTTATCTAAATAATAAGCATTGAAATATGTGTTAAACACTTTGGTATCCTACTGAAAAAGTTAAATATAGCAGAGAATATGCAAACGGACCGAACAAACTGATCACAAGTACCTCTAACTGGTTTTCATCAGTTGTAATCAGATTAAATTCGTAAATAATGTAAAGCAAGTGAAGCCCGAAAAGACTTGTGACATGTGCTAAAACCATGGATATCATCTGTTGATCTATTCGGTGACGAACAAAAGTAGTTTATCTTCGAATAATTCGACGAACATTACGATAAACTAATAGATTGAATGTTATACATATTGAATATAGGATTAAATATTCCACACAGATTAGATATTTGAATGTCTATGCAGATGGGAAAATGGAATACTATGGAGAACAAATGAAGAAAACAACAACAAGAATTGATCGAATGTGTGAAAACAAATTGTAAACAATAAACAAAATCCAAAGGACACTACAACTAGAATTTTTATTTTACACCAGACGAGCGAAACGCTGATAGGATTAATATCAGTTATTCTGAAGTAGAAGAAAATCGGAGAAATAAGTAAGAAACGCTCTTATGTTGCTTTCATATTGTAAAATGAAGATGACAAAACCGTGGATATAGCGACTATAAAATAAGTATGCAAATCATAAGAATCTAAACTTCGATTGAGCGAAAACTAATTAAAGTATGAAATTGATAATCTTTTGTGTTGACAACACGACAGGTCCAGTACTAAATCATCTCAGTAATAATAGTAGAGGAAAATGAATCATTTCCTCTCTGTTTGCATTCTTACATTTAAATAAAGCAGTTTAAACTGTTTATGGATGTGACAGATTGAAATTTCTAGTTAATTAAACAGAAAATAAAGTCTGATTTTATGCTCTTCTCCGTTTGTAGAGTTCTCATGATTAAATTGAAAAGCACGAAATTGATCATACTTCTTCAGGATGAGTAAAAACATTCCAGTGAATAAGTACTTACGAAGTTAACCCAAAACAACTGCCTTTTTTTCTATTAACAAACTTGTATGATTTTGTTATATGAATTATAGTATGATATGTACTTTTTTGCCTGAGCAGAGTAGCATCAAACAATTTGCATGTAAAATTCAAGATGTATGATAGAAATAAACCATTGGAGAGCAAAAGTTACATAAATATTCCCGAGATGAAAAGTTTAGAGAAACGAATAATGCATTTTAGTTCATATAGAATGAACGTCATCATAAGAGGTATTGGAGTTAATTGTAATTCCTTTTACGCCAGATGGACGAGGAGAATGACTCGTTTCTTCTTGATGAATGAGAATATCTAATCTGTAGATGTACCTGAATGAAAAGTATAGAAATGATGGAATGAAGGTCGACAATCTCTTCTGTTTTATAAAAATAAACAAAACATTTAAGACCAAATGTGATTTTTTTATTAAAAAAAAAACGAACTGAGAAGACATGAGTTGTATTCAATCATTGCAACTTTACATGCAGTGCTATGCTGATTCTACACCACCAGATACTTGTCTAAGAGCTGTTTCGGGTACAACTTGATTTCGACTATGTCTTCGTCGGTTTGAAGGATGGAAATTATAACATTTTGCGCAACATTTCTTCATTATACCGTGTTTGACTTGACGACGAAAGCGTGTTGATACAATCAAAAATAGATAAAAGTTCACCTAAACGATGAACACTCAAACATTATTCGTGTCTATTATTTCATCCTACCGCAAAATTTAAATATAACAATGAATATGCCAACAGACCGACCAAGCCAACGATGACTTCTTCTAACTGATTCTGATCTATGTCGCGAAGATTTAGTGTATAAATGTTGTAGATAACGTATGGTAAACCGAGTAAAATCAGATTTACGGTGCGTGCTAAAACCATTACGGTCATTTGTCGATCTAACCGACGGCGAACGACAGGCATCTGTCTTCGTACAATTCGACGAACATTACGGTAAGCTAAAAAACTAAACGTAATCGTAGTGAGTAATGGTAAAGCAGTGCATAAAACTGGATAGTAAAAAACAGCGTTATAAGTTTGAAGAGCGTCATTCGACACTGAACATGAGCCAGATTCTTGAATTTCCGATGTAATAATTAAGGGAATGTTATGAAGAATAGCAAAACAAGCGATGCAAAGAACGGATCGACGAGCCAGCTTCATTGTACTAATTTGTCGAAAACTAGGCCGAGGATTTGTTGCCAGATATTGATCGATTGTCTGGAAACAGATTGCATAAAGTGAACAAAGACCAAACGATCCGGAAAGTCCAGCTTCCATTTTACACCAACATAATGAAACATGAGTTAGATCAATATTACTTATACGATAATAAATATTTAGTGGAAAAATAACAAGAAACAATCCAATGTTTGCAATCGATTCAGCAGCAAAATAAAAAGCGCATTGATTTACTCGAAACGGCCGAAAAGTAAGAAATACAGTAGCATTCAAAAAGTTACTAATCATTCCAATGATAAGAAGAACAGAATAACTGTACAATTCATACGTATCGCTGACACGATGTATTAGAAGTATCAGAGATGTAGACATTCGTTGTGAAATCAGAAAATCATATCGCGACAATGATCTCGAGTGCAACTCAATGATAAAAGATGCGATGAAAGGATTTATGTTAGCCTTAATAGTTTGGAAAATAAAATTTATTTTAAAAATGTGAAACAGCCCATAACAAGACTTTTGTCGGTAAAGCATTACTCTCAACCTTTATTCTTGTCGTGCGCACAACCTACGAGGAATTTTCAGACGGGTTTGCCGCTTATTACTGCTACATCAGTTTACTAATTGAATTGTGCACGAACATTTCACGGAAAAATGGCTCAATTTGACAAATGAAGATCAAAAAAGTTGCTTTGTTCTGTGAAAGAATTTCAAAAGCTGATGTTCATTCTGTAGGATGAATTTGATTATGACGAACCAAAAATCCACGATTACCAAACACAAAATAATCAACCCAATCTAAAAAAAACGAACGAAATTTACTTTTTTATTTAAGTTAGATACTGAAACCATCAATTACGACCCTAATCAACTGTTGCACGACGTTTGATTGTTCGGACGAACTATTCAATTAACAGATTAAACATATCAGATATATTTTTAAGATGACGTTAAAACAAACAAGCCAAGCAAGTGCCTTTACGGTTAGTTGTTGATCTAGACGTCGACGTACGATATATCGAACATTTCGCTAATCTAAAACGCCAATCAAACTCTTGAACAGTGCTGGAGTAGCCACATTCATTTTAAAAAAGATTCCGTCAATAATTGAGTGAGCAAACGACAAGTTTCGATACAGATAGCAAATATTGAGCTAATTTCGACGTGTTAGTTTGTCTGAGATAACAGATAAAGCTTGTAGATAAAAATCGATCGAGAGAAATCAAACAAACGAGACAAATGGATAACTGTTTAAAAAAATGTGACAATATTGTTTTTAGTTTACACTCAATTACAGAAGTGGTTGATAAATCAGTTTGTAAACTAAGTGATAAAAGACAAATCGATTCGCAAATAAAATAAAATACGCGTTGACTCGAACGAAAGATTTTTAATTGCAAAGAAAACAGTCAAACTTACAAAATGACTCAAAACTCCAACAACAAACAGAATAATAGTAGAATAAGTAGCAAACTATTGGATGATTCCCATTAGTTCATCAAAATGAATTTTATGTCATTTGTTGAGAGAAAAAGAAAAACACGTCAAGATTCACTTGATCAAGTTTTTATTGTAAAAAGAAAGTCATGCATGTATGTTAATTATCAAGCGGATTTGTGCTGTCTTATGTACTTTCCTCATGGCATATTGGGATTTAAAAAACCTCCACTTGAAGATACAATTCAACAGGAGAAAAGTACCTTTGCACGAAAATGTCTTTATTTCGAAATAAAACGTACAAAACAAATACTTATTTCAGTAATATATCGAATACAATTTTCCGTGTCTATTTTTATTAGTTTAGATAACGAAGAGGACTCAACTTGTCATGTATTAACACTTGATAATTTTATATGCGAATCAAACATTGATCAGGCATGTCGAATTTTACACACACTTCTCTTTCGACANCTTCATAGCCGTATACGCGATAGCGGTCATCATCGCCCTCATATTCTTCTTGTTCTTGTTCTTCTTCGTCGCCGTCGTCGTATTCGACGTATTCGTCCTGTTCTTCTATTTCATCAAGGTCATCATCATTATCATCCGTTGGAAGTGATATGACCGATGCGAACTATAATGAATTAAATACACTCCTGTGTATATATTTCATTAGAATTTTCTAAATACCCAGTCACGAATGCTGATGTCGATTTGAAGAACTTCGCATTCCGGTACCCAAACGTCGGGAAATACTGGCGGCCAATGTATTTCATATTGACCAAGCTGATTGCCTTCCATGTCTATACAGAAAGATTGAAATTGATCGGGTACAGATATTTTTCTTACGATGAGCTACTGTATGAGTAGTTCTGTAGATTGCTTGACCATTCCAAAATCCGATCAGGTAAAGAGCACCTGTACTTCCATGAGCATCATCAACGTCGGTCACTCGCATAGGCACTATATGATATCGATTCTCGTCCGAAGGTACACCATGTTGTTCGGTATTGTTTGCAATCATCTTATTGATGTACCCTTGCATATGGTTGTTATTACCAGCCATTACTTTTGAACTATTTTTGAAAATCTTCACTCTATTGGTGAAAGGAACTGATGAAAAATGTAAAAAAGATTAGCAAGCTGCGAAGAATGAAGTAATTGATTTCTTTTCTTTCTCTTTATATATGTACATCTTTTGATAATTATGTCATATCTTTTCATGTGCATATCAGAACAAATCAACATGTCTGATTCATGTACGTGAGCTACTTTAGGCTACAACACATAGAATTACTATATTGCTTCACATATTATGTATTTGGCTTCGAATTGTTGTGAAATCAATTATACAAAAGCAGTTATGATCATCTGATTAATACGGTGCGACCTTAAGGAGCATCGTATTATTGAGTTTCTTCGCGTCTTTTTGCGTCTTTTTAATACGGTGCGCTAGCATCGTATTCTTGAGTTTCTTCGCGTCTTTTTATTATTATTATGTTTCTTTCTAGACAACCATCCAAAGTCCATTTTTAGTGACGCGGTGATCTAGAGATCGGAGCGTCGCTGGACTGTAGGATAAACACTGTCGAGCAGTTAGCTAGATGAAGATGAGATATTTTTTCTCAGAATTTCATAAACTGATGTCGTTTGCCCAAAATAAAACACGGACTCGGTGGTAAACTGTGGCGAACATCTTTCAAGCAGTGGAGATAATTAAAAGGCGAGTAGGCGCGAAAAAGATTTGTCAAAAGTGTGCTCTGATTAGTTGAAAAAACAATTAATGAATGCGCCGACCTCATGTCTCTCTAGATTTTAGTTCATAGAGGCTTCGATTTGAGTACTTTCTTTATGACTTCTGTCAATTCAAATTTGCTATCATTAAATACAGTCCTAGTGAGCAATTCATTTTGAACTATGTCAACTAGAAAAGTTCTAACTTCAAACTACATGGTTGCAGAAATAAACTATTCATTCATCTAAATAGAATGAAGGTATCGTCGAAATTCCGCGCACCGTATTTCGCGGTCGGGCGAAGCCTGACAGCCCGTCTAGTTATTATTATTATCTTTTCTCTTTCTGGACAAGGCGTCCAAAGTCCATTTTAAGCGGCTCGATGATCTAGAGAACGGAGCGTCGTTAGCCTTCCGAACAAAGGCTGTTAAGGAGCTATGACTATGTAGATGCTCATTTTTTAATTCGAATTCCACTTTTACCATTAGTTTGCCCAAAATAAAACATGGACGTAGCGGTAAATCATGGCACATGCATTTTACATTGTTAAGATAATTAAAATCGGAGTATAGGCGCCAAAAGGATAGTTTGCTTGTATTTTATGATTAGTTGATAAAACGATGGTTTAATGCAGCGACATCATTATACAAGGTTTTACGCGAATCTTTTATTAAATTTTCTCCTATAAAAAGCTCTCTGTATTAGCCGAAAAATATTTCCAACGATCTCAGGAACTATCGACTTGTACACTAACTGGAAAATAAATGTTCAATAGCATACACTTCCTCCTATCTTCCCCAAAACTCGTCGCACCGTATTCTGCATTTAGGCGAAGCATGAATGCCGTCTAGTTATCTTTTGAACTGCATCTTTGGCAGACAGGATACATTTTTTCACATATTGTTTATATTTCATTGGAACGAAAGAGAAATGCTCTAACTCGATTTTTCGAGGATATGTGCTATATTATGTTAGTACATGCATAAAATGTGGTTAATAAAATGACAATAATGAAAAGAAGAAACTGAAAAAACAATTTTTTGATGATTAAAAGGTGATATAATGTGATTAAATATAATGTGATTAAATATAATCAATCTGTTTTTCATGAACGATGTTCAACGATAGAATTGTATTGTCTTATTTTGTTAAACGTTGTTCGTTGACTTGCTTGTCTTTCATTTGATTGGATCGTGTGACACGACGATTATCAGGTTGATTTTTTTCTTCATGACGTGTCATATTCACATTCTGATTTGCTCCTGCACCGCAGCTAATATCATGATCGGCATTTTTCGATGACTTTTTTTCAACTTCCTTCGATTCATATTACACAATGAGAGTTGGATATTTAAAATAACAAAATCAACTTCTTACTTGTTTACATGCCGAGCATTGCTTTTTTTCCTGACCATTCTTTTTTTCTTTGTTGTAGTCATCTACCAAACATGATAATAGGTGTAAGAAAACAAGCCAATCTAAGCTCAATACTATTTACTATTCAATAAAGCAGCTGCCTGATCAAGATTGCTGTCATCGTCATCATTATCATCATTCGTTGATGACAAGTCATCTTGTGTTGACTTTTCTTCCGGTAATTCTAAATGAGAAGAGCAACTAATCATAATTTCTTTTTTTCGATTATATATTTCCAACCGTCCGGGTCATCTAATTTATCTAAATCAAATGGATATCCAGCTCGAAACTCTTCATCATCATAATCGAGCGACGATGGATTGAAAATAAACATTGGTGTATCAGCTTGATTTTCTTCTATGTGATCCATTGTCGTTTTGCTTGAAATAGTTGATTTCTNCACTAACTTGAGAGTTATTTCTCTTTTTCTGTCTTTTGATCATGATTTGTCATGTTCGTGTTAGTCATAGTGGTGGACAGCTTGCGTTTGACATATTTTAATATCCGTCAATTAATAAACGATGATGGGAGAGCAAATATATACATAAACACAATTCTCGTTTAGCTCAAACGACAGATAATCGTGTTCAATTGGATTTTATTAGAAAGAGAGAGAGCGAGCGAGGTGTTATCTCTCTCTCTGTCTTTTTTCTTGCTTGCGTCAATTGTTGACTGAAGAACGCAGAGAGAACAACTGGAAAAGAATTAAACGATGATGATGATAATTTTGATTGATCGATCATTTTTCTCTCTCTGTCTCTCTGTCTCTCTTTCTCCGACTAGATTTCTCAACAGTTAGTTTCCTGTATTAGAATCATTTATGCTCTTGAACGGATAAGTGAAAATCATGACAACATTTTCTATTGCTTCGATTCTCGGTGATGAAAATCCAAAACATGACAAAGAAGACAATGATAGCAACACAAACAGCATTGATGAACAACGACAGCATCAACAATTTCTCTTGAACAATAGTGTTCAACATTTATACAACATTTTCTGCAAAAATGCTGCACTCGCTGTTCGATTGAACGATCAACATCAGAACAAAACTAATTTAATTCGATCGTTTCCTCTTGAAGCATCATCACCCTCATCAACAGATTTTTATTCTCTACACAAACTTAGTTCGACATCTTATCAAGGTAATGATCATCGACTGAAAACTCCTCATTTTCCCTTCTTGTTCTCTTCCTCACTTAGACATCGAGTTCATTAATTGCTTATTGATTACGATAAGACGCGAGTTTTCACACATTGCTCGTTTTCTCATTTTTTTTTATTGCTTTCGTTGTCGATGATCAGACGCGAGAAAGAGGAAGTCTGTATAATTGTTGACACACATGATCAAAAGTCAATTGAGCGCCCAAGATATATTTGTTCAACTTATTACTATGATCGAGATATTGATGTGATGATCAGATGCATCTGAGAAATGATGAAAGAAGGAAATAACACCGTCGGAAATCTTCTTGTTGTAGGTTCACCAATCTCATATTACGGCAAATCTCGTCGACCGCGGACAGCATTCACTTCACAACAGCTACTTGAATTGGAAAAACAATTTCGAGAGAATAAATATCTCTCGAAACCAAAAGTAAATAGAATTCGATTTTCATTTCGTTTTCATTCGAATTTTCTCGTTTCTAGCGGTTCGAAGTAGCCACATCATTAATGCTAAGTGAAACTCAAATTAAAATCTGGTAAAGACCAATACAAAGAAACTTCTCCTCACATATACTTTTCTCGAAAACATTTAGGTTTCAAAATCGTCGAATGAAATGGAAACGAAACAAAAAACTACCTTCGGATGATTCTTCAACATCAATGGTTATTAAAGATGAGCCTTTCGATACTACGGATTCACCTTCATCATCAGCTACAATGAGTCCAAGCTAAACATTTTTTTCTTTTCTCATCATTTTCATGTCCTTCTTATTTGTTGCAAAATAAACTATACAACAACGATGCGCTTCTCTATTCGAACTTTACGTTTAAGATTAGTTTATTTTCGAATTCGATGAGCGGATGTCTGGAATAAACGTCGAATGAAATATGTTTGAAAAAGACTACAACTAATTATTAGGAAGATGTGAATCATTGCCCATCGATTGACCCAGGCGAGATTTTGTTCAAGGAGATAGAGATCCTTTTGATTAAGCATTTCCATTTCCATTTGTCGTTCACGTGAAACAAGAATATGATGACTAATTGAATCTAAGGCATTCTAAATACGAGAAATGTTCATCGTATGCGAGTAAAGAAAGATTAAAACGAGAAGTTACATGAGCATTGATTGACGAATTATCGAAATGTTCGACTTCTTTAATACTTTCTAAGATTTTTCCAATATGATAAACATGAAAGAATACCGACATGTATTTCACATAAGTATCCGTCTTCGCGTGTGTCATACAAATATCAATCACAGCTATATAACTAAATCAATGGGAGCTATTACAAAGAAAAGATCAATCTTACTTGTATCATTGGCAATTATTTCTAAATGGCCTCGTTGTGGTGTCGTTGAAACTGAGATTATACTTCCGTTAATTGCGTTACGAAAATATGCAACGATAGTGCTATCATGATCATGTGCGTTTAAAATTTCGTACATGAAATAAAGACTTGTTCCATTGTCTAACGATTCGTGATAACATTCTTCTGAACCAGGTTGAAGCCAAAACTTGAAACGCATCTCTAACAAAACAAATCTCTCCTGAAAATTAATAAGAGAAGGAGAAAGGAAAGATCACCTCTGAGATGCTCAGAATCAGTCGTTATGGTACTGACGAAAAGACTACTCAAGAGTACAAAACAAGAGTAGATCGATCGCATTGTTCGTGATGTCGTTGGAGTTTAGTAAAGTATAATGAGTATGTACGTGTATATCATATGTCGAAAAAAAAAGACGAAGGAACGAAAAGAAGAAAAAGTGAAGGATAATTGACCATCTATTTACCCAAGGATTGGAAGATTTGTGTCTATTCTTACCAATATGGTATCAATGCACGAGACATAGGACACAAAAAGAGAAGAAAGGAGTGAGTGAATGAAAAGATAGAGAATTGTGTTAAAAGTGTACCTAACCTGTTCGAAATTCAACATTGACTAAATATCAATCTTATTGCCTTGATGTGAACAAATTTTCAACAAGAGAATTGGCGCCTAGTTTTACTTGTGTGTATCAATGTATATTTTTCCAAATAAACCAAATCTTCTTTTCAATTCTAAGGTATATCGACGTTGGTGAGTGTGCTTTTCGTCTTATCCGATTGATAAAATGTCTCATCGTCGTCATCGACAGTCCAAATACTTGGAATTGTATTGTTGTTTGTCCAATGAATTTCTTCTTACTTATCCTCAACCGCAAATCTTATCATATGATCAAAAGAAAAAGAGAAAAAGGTGTCGAAACACAAATGCATTCAATTCACTACCAACAAAGTACGATTGGAAAAGTGAAGAAATCAAATCAACGAGAATTATGTCGAGAGAACCTCCGAATCATCAAGTAGAAATTTATATGAAAAAAGACTCATCGGACAAGGCAGATGGAGATAAACAGACTAAGAAATCTGCACGCAAAGTATTTGATACAATTCATCAATTGAAAATCAATGATGATCGTGGACTGCGATTATCTGTTAGTTGTTAAAATGAAATTTTTTTGTTGATCAACACTATTTTTCTATAGAAAACATTAACCCGTACGTCTACGTGGAATAATTTTCACGACAATAGGACAGCATCATATTATAATCATGTTCAACGAGAACATTTACAGCAACCTGTCATGTTATCACCATCGAGAAACAAAAGAGAAATGAACCCTTCTGAAAGATCAAATAGTTTTGTTTCATCTATAGAATCACAAAGTCATTTACCTGATTCAGATGAACGAAAAACTTATTCAATAGAAAATATAGTAATTGATTCTGAAAGTAATCAGTCGTTGAACGAGAACATCAAATCTCAAAGTGAACATATCGAAGAATTTCAACCTATGTCTAAGATTCCATCGAGTATACTCAATGATATTCTTTTATCGTCATTGTTTCCAAATGTGAGTAATAATCCTCTCGTCTTCGCTAACGATGATATGAATAAAACACCTTTGATGATATTTGATGACGATACTCCAGATATAACAGAACTGATAATGATTGATCGATTACCGAAAAAAATCTGTTCATTTGTTGAATCTATCGACGAATTATGTATTCTCATTCGAAAACTACTACAATTTCAATTGAACCAACGAGACATCACTCCTCTTCAAACCAGACTTACAACTCAACTAGCACTTCTATTAACTTATTTAGCCATGCCTCAACACGAAAAACAAACTGCTGATAAAATCACATCGACAGATGTAACCTTTCAAACCGCCACGATCGAAACTCAAACAGATTTTGAACGAAAAAATTCATCTAATAATCAACATTCAACTTCTATACACGAGCCATCGTCACATATAGAATTGATATCAACTAGCGGTAACCAAAATCTAACAAATCTTTCTTCATCTCTTATCTATTTCTACTAGTAACCATACATTTACCCTCACATCATCTTCACTACGCTCTATCCGATACATTTGTTCACCGCCTTCAACGTTATTCCATTTCTCATCCCAGAATAACTTCATTTTCGGAGACTTTCATCCATCATCTCCACCAATCATCGTCATTACCAAAAAACAAAATGAAACCTTTGCTGAAGTTTGTCGAACTTGAGTCTTCAAATACATTTCTAGAGGCAAGTACTGAGTTTACACCTGATTTTCAAATAACAACAATGAACAGTTCGAAATATGATGATCACACAGAACAGTTTGGAATTGACATAGGAAAACTTGAAATACTCCCATCAGATTCCTTACACACGAGCAGATCTGTGAATAAATCCAATATTGACGAAGAAAATACACTAAAGAGTTCAATTACCGAAATGAATAGTCTTTTTTTACATAATACTACATCATTATCCCATGATGAAGACGAATTCATCACGCCAACAATCAACTGTCAACTACTAGAACCACTATTGAATTCACATCAACTGCAAATCCCTATTTTACTAAGAAAATCAAATAGCATCGATTCGATTTACGCGAAACAAACAGCGCACATACGATCGAATCGAAGTATTGTCGGTAAACGAGTGATGCTTAAATCCATTTCAAGTAAATCTCTCTACTGCGAAAGTATCTGTCAATATTTTGTCACTTCGTTCAATTAGATCACGAACGAAGGAAAACAACTTCAATTTTGAATTACAATAACAACTACCATGAACACGATTATCGTTCGAAAACTTCGTCTCTATCAACGATTGCAGATAAATTCGATTCAAATCTTGCACTTGCTCAAGATTTACTCGACATGCTCGATTCTCTTAATGGTCATTCATCAACAACGAATGTTAGTTCACTGCACATGTATATTCAGCAATTTCTTATTCAATTTGATACACGTATTTGTATGGAACGAAAAAGAAGAAGAAGAAGCAAAGCGAAATATGATTTGATTAAAAGGAAAATAAGCGACAAACTCGACAAAACATGTGATAGAAATAAAGAAAATATTTAAAAACAGTTGAACCATTTTCTCGTACAAATTTCTCTTCGTTCTTCGAATGAAAAATAACATCCGAAACGAAATTATTACAATCTAGATAAACAAAGCAATTACTCCACTTTCGTACGAAGAAGTTCGCAAATGGTTCCGAGGCATCTTCTAACGGTTCACCATAATCAGCTTCAAATCCTTCTTTCCACCATGTATTAGGCGTGAAAAATAACCAGTAATCCCCACGAGCAATAAGAAATGCTGCTAATTGTTGTTTGAGATCTTTACACTCTTCCCATGGATGATCACACGCACCATTGTACATAGCGGGGAAAGTAACAGGAACATTTTTCATTGACATTGCCGTTCTCATTTTCTCCGCACAAACAGCTGGTTTATCGTCACTCGTTGGAATAGTAGGACTTAACCATGCTTGCCAAGCATGTTTCTTGTATTTAAGACCAAGTTCCCAAGCTCGATTTAGAGATACTTGTTGTGCTGCATCGACCGATTTGCGATATTCTTCAGTGTAATTTGGATAATTTTGTCGTTCATCCCAAATACCTCCATCATCATCATAAAAGATTCCATCGACAACAGATTGATTGAACGCACTGGCGACATAAGAATTGACAAAATAATCTTGGACATCTGGATTTCGATGATCCCAGCAGAATTGATCCATGCGATAGTTGCCAACTTTAGTTGAATCATTATAAATAGTTCCATTTGGAAATAAAACGAACCAGTTCGTTTTCGAAGGATCATACATGACTTTCGCACCGTTATCGAATATATTCAATGCTAATTCGGATTGGCGATACACAAAAACGCGTGTTTGAGGATTAACATTTTTGATAATTGCTGCTTGTTGAGCTAAAGTTTCTTCTCGGTGCATTGGTAAGCCATAATGATTAGCCCAATCAATTCCAACAACACCGTGTAAAGCAGCAAATGCAACAGTGGCATTATCATAAAATCCTTCACTTGAATAGAAATAATATTGAGTCGATAATTGCATATTGTATGTCGGTGACCATGGAGGAAGTGGACAAGGTAATCGCCATGATATTGGACATGGATCAAGCTTACTTTCGATTAATATTATGCATTGTAAGATGAAAGTCGTGATCATAAAATGAAAAGACATTTTTATATATTATCTTCAAATAGACAAGTAGTTCTGTTTGATTATTTGGGTATCCAAAAAAAAAGAAGTTGAGAGTGCCATTTTTTTTCTTCTGCTGCACAGAAGTATGACCATGTGGTTTAAAAGTTAGAAACGGCAACTAACAGAACGCAAAAGAAAAGAATTCAGGCCTGTAACAACAATTTTTTTCTCTTTGTCTTATATTCTACCGAGTTCGAGTTAGAATGGTGAAAATCAAAGAAATATTACAGTTTTACATTGTCTCACAGGAAAGAAAAAAATGAAAATGTAATACAGAATCTGATTTTACTAACAGTCTGACTAACATACACGAAATCAGCCTAGAAAAGATTGTCTATTAATATACGAGTAGATAAAGAAGAGTGAGTAAACATACAAAAACAGATAACTAGATATTTTATGTCATTCGAAATGCTTATAGTCATGTTTTACTGCAATCAATAGTACATATTTGGCACACATAGAATCACATTAACAAAGCAAAAATTTCTTGAGAGTGAGCGTGTTGTAAGCAACAGAAGAAAATGAGGGCGAAGGGGAGGGCGTTGTAGGGTACAGGTCACAGAGATAAGATGAAATATCTGACAGCTGGACAGACAAACCATAGTCCTGCAACTTCTGGTTTTCAAACTTTCAAATAGCACCTTAACAAGCTTTGTAGTTCAAAGTTTCAGTATCGGAATGCTAAACTAATAGATTTAGAAGTCGAATAAAAGTTTAAAATACTTGAATCGAGTTAACGATTTCTACACAACTCATTTTCTTCGACCACTTACACATTCAACAATGAGTCTCCTCAAGGAAATGAGTGTAATGCTGTTTGTCAATTATATCTTTGTTAATTATGTTTTTTTGTACTTGTTTAAATAAATCAAAGCAATATGTCGCAGTACGTGATGAACAATTTCTATTCTATTTTATATCAAATCATGACATAATGAAGCATCAACAGCAGACAAAGTAGTAAGGCAAAGACGTGAGAAAACTTGAAGAAATTCTCATTAGTTCATATATTCCTTCGAAGCTAGTATGGGTGTCGCCGAAGACATTCTTTTCTTGACGAAGAACTTCTCATTGTACTTTGTTTCCGTAATTTTTGTTTTTGGTGGAATTGGAAATCTTATCAACATATGTGTTTTAACATCTTTGAAACTCTTTCGAGTAAATCAATGTGCATTCTATCTCATCTTTGAATCTGTTGTCAATACATGTCAGATAACCTTTCTTTTCATTATGTATCTTATACCAATTGTCAATGGATTCGATCCTGAAAATGTTTTAATTGGTTGGTGTAAAGTAAAAGCCATGATTCCTCAAGTATTTCGATTACTTTCAACATCCATGGTATGTTTTGCGGCATTAGATCAATTTCTCTCTACAAATCCTCTATTGATCATTCGACAAATGAGTTCACTTCGACTGGCACACTGCCTAACAATTATCGCCATTATTATTTGTTCATTACATAGTGTACCCTATGGAATCTTTTATCAGATTGCCCCTCCCAGTGGTTGTATTATGAATAACTCGAGGTTAAATTCTTATTATTTATATTTTTATTATCCATTTCTACATGGGTTCTTACCGATAGTCGCGTCGTCTGGATATGCTCTCCTTGCTTATCGAAATGTTCGCCGTTTAATTCGACGTGACATGGGTGCTGAACGTCGTCGACTGGACCGACAGTTAACGGCAATGGTTTTCGCACGAGTTATTTGTTTCGTTCTGTCTTTAGCTCCTTACACTATCTATCGTATTTATGCACTGAATGTCAGTGTTAGTCAAGCTAATATGTATCCATATGCGATCGATCGTCTATTATATACAATTACGGTAACGCTGGTAAATCTGAATTATACTGTAAGATATTCATTATCATACTTTATAGAGAATTAGGAAAAATTTTTTAGATGAGTTTTTACATATTTTTTGCATCTTCATCACGATATCGTCGACAAGTGAAGCACTTCTTTGTTAAGAAATGTTGGTTAGCATTGAAAAATTTATGCACTGCTGAACCAAACAGAATTCATCCTCAAACTTCAAGATCGATTGCTGCCGACAGTGGATGGGAATGATACGGCCAACGAAATGAATCGGAGCGAGGAGATGCTTAGTATTTTTTGTTTTGAGTAAACAAATACCTGCTAAACTATCGATCGATCATCGAAGGGCTGCATTTGCGTATTGTCGCAGTGTTGAACGACGAACAACGTGATACTTTTCAATTGGGTTTTCAATTTGTGGAATTTTTTTCTTCATCGAGTTGTCGCCGTAAATGAACTCTTTTGTTATTCAAGACCATCTGAAGTTCTAACAACAATCTACACATGTAAACGAGGAAAACAAGCAGATATCTTCCGTAATGAATAATGCCAGTGCCAGAACACTCTGCTTCTCCTCTGTGGCAACCGATTAAGGCTTTTAACCGCTTCAGGGAAAACATGGAATTCATGGCGGAGGCGCGAATTCGGAAAATCTATGGGTTCAAAATAAAACGTACAGAGATTATTCGTTTTAAGTTTGAATATTATTGTTACTCTTGTTACTTTTACAAAAAAAGATCGATACCAGTTCAGAGCTGCAAAACAAATGTAAAATATAACTCCTGGTTGATTCAAGATACAAATAGCATGACAAAAAAAAACAAGTTGTCTGACAGGACAACTCTACTTGTCTCATTCACATGGATCTTCAACTGCTAGAGATAGAAATAACACGAAAAGCGAGTTGTCTCAGAGACAAATAACGCAGGTTTTTGTCATCACTATGTTCTTTTGAATAATTTTGTTATATATTCGTTATTAAACGTTGTTCCATACACTAAATTTAGTTGAATTATCATTATCATTAAAACGAATAATTTCTATATAGTTATTTCGGACCAATAGAATTTTGTATATGTGCCTCGGGCATGGTTCCCATGTTCTTCCTTAAAATCAGTTACCACATCCACTCTCCTCTGACTACGAACGACGAAGGAAAATGAGGAATGAGACTGGTTAGAATGTTAACCAATGAAAACAAAGAATGGGAATATATATTTATCTTCATCTTCACAATATATATTTGATTTAGATTATAGATGTATTTGTTCCTAGTAAAGGAATAATTCATTTCGGTTCTAAAGAAAAAGGAATCAATTTCATTGCTAATGGATCGACAATCGACGACGTTCATATTGATGAAGATCATTCGCGATCTTAATCTTAGTACGAACACAGAGGTAATTGAATTTCGCTTCTTTTTCTTCTTCTTCATCGTACGAATCTATTTAGGCTCGCGAACAACAACGTCGATTCGTCAATGAACGCTTTCAACGATCCAATACCAACATTGATCGTTCCATCAAGTCTTCCGCAACTGATTTAACCGAACTTATCGCGAACTTTTCCGACATCTACACTTCAATCGAACAATCAAAAAGTCGTGTTCAAAATGTTCGTGAACGTTTACGAGAATGTAAGAACTTATTGTTACTCAAACGACAAGACATCCGTAAACTATGGCTATTGACATCGGAACAGAATGCTCTCGTCAAAATCTACCAAAACATCGACGAATTAAAACATGTACCTGCTCGTTTACAATTCTACTTAAACAAACACTTGTATCTTCATGCGTCTTTATTGTTAATCAAAGCCAAAGAACATCAAGAGCTGCGTCTGATCAATGCTTTAGTTGACATCGACACACAGTTGAAAGATGAGCGGTTAAGCTTCGAACATCAACTACGGTCAGAATTGATCAATCAACTATTCGAAAAGCCATGTCGAGATATTCTTGGCAACAAAAATGTCACCTCATCGTCATCAATAACGAACTCCTCGTTAACATCGAACAAAAATGATCATAACTATTTATCTCGAATTCGGGAAAATCGTCTGCTGAGAAAACAACTGGATCAAGATTTTGAGCTGGGAAAGTTATCATTTGAATTTCATTCATTAGCCATCATTCCTGATAAATACATGTTAGTTGATATTCGCCATCAAGCACCTGATCTCTATCTCGATGTTCTCTTACAGTCTTTATCAATTCTTTCACGTTTGAATGAAACACTCGAACACATTCAAAAACAATTACATGAGCAATTCCATCGAATCGTGCAGCGAACAACACAACACATCGTCGATAACAATTTTGTGTTACATTCGAACAATTCACATCAAAGTCATCTAATGAATAATCCTGATTGTCTTCGAGACCTGTTAGAAACATGCTATGAACAATTCAAGATTGTGGTGAAAAATATTGAATACGTCCTGAATGGGTTGAAATTGATACAAGAACATCAAGCATCAGTACAACTTCAACAAGATGCATATCTTCAAATACAAGCAGCAAAAAATCAACGAGGTACGGCGAAAGATTCCGTTTTCCCTTCTTAGGCTAATTCTCTTATTGAAAATTTAGATCTTAAAAATCATCAACGACAAGCTGTGTCATCCGTACCAAATACTATCCAGTTTGAAATTCCATATCTCTTTTCAATCGAACTCGTTTGGGAAACTCTTCAACAAGTTCTCAGTGAAGTGTTGAATGAATACATTGACTACAACAACACATTAGATACATCAGCATTGAATTCGTTGTTAATACCGAATGGAACTGATTACAATAATCACCATTCAGTTACTGACTTTTCACAATACTTAACGAAAAGAGCTCCACCCCGTCCACAACAAATTCCACGTCTCTTCGAATTCTCTCAATCAGCACAGTTCAACTCATTAACTTCGTATTTACAAGATCAGAATCGCTTTGCCATCAAACCAGAAACAACAGCGGTTGCCACAGCATATAAACAATACGTTTGCAAACCAAACTATCGAAACATCACTGCTGTTCACGATATTCTACAACGAATCATCGAAGATATTGATGTGAATGTCAAACTGCATGCGACGAAACGTATTCTCGACAGGTTAGTTCGACGTTCATCTCATTTGAATATTTGTGGTTGAAGATCTATTTGTCTTCATTAATGATGATCGTCTTCTCTTTTCTTTTTCTTTCTTAAGGAAACTAACTGAATTCATTCGTGATCGATTCATTGGTCGCGTCATCAAAGATATTTGTGAATCTGCTCAGTTGTCTTCCGCATCATCTATTGCTGATCAAACACGTCTTGCTGAGTTAGTTCCAGTTGTTCTGCAAAAACAACTTCAACTACCCATGCCAATTCTACAATCCACTTATCTGATATTCAAGTCATGCGAAGAATTATGTGCTCTCGTCAAGTGTCTTCCACCTTATGCAGATGACTTCTGTCAGGCTATCATCGATCTTCTATTCAAACATCGAGAATCGAGTAATAAACTCTTTCTGAGCATTGTCGAACGAAGTGATTCACCCGGAACATCGATCTATTCGAATGAATGGGTCAAAGACGCCGATATCAATCGACATCTACGAACAATGCCAGCATTTGATACATTTATCCGAATGGCCAAACAACAAAACTCCAACAATCACAATAATCATCAAGATGACAATGCTGATAATATTCGATTTAGACAAACAAAGGAAACAGAAACTTTACTGATTAATTTCAGCCAAAATGAAATGAACTTGGATGACATATGCACGAATTATAAACATGTGAAGTTATTAGCGAATATTCACGAGAGTCTCGACTGGTTATATTGTAAATTATCGTATTATTTTGATATTTTGGACAGATGTCTAAGCGATACAAAATATCTCGATGCATTGACACAAACAACAGGTAAGATCGTAGTCAGTCGGATAGAAATGCCATTTTCATCATCAATTTCTAGTCTCGTATTCTATAGAAAGGTAATTGTAAACTAACTCGGGAACGGTCTCTATCATCTTAACTGACTTGTGAAATCGTTTGTTCTGTATAAAAGTAAAGAAGGGAGGTATTCGGTTGTCGAAATGCAATTAACCTTTTTCATGAGCGAGAGATCATTCGAAGTAAACAAACAAATGTCTACCAACACAAAATACTCAGACAAAGCAGTTCATTCAACTGATGAAGATGATGATTGATGTTGAAATCTTTGCATGAACTAATGACATCGACTAACATGATTTTGTGCTTTTCAGTTACATCTGGTTATTCTTCGCGCACATTGAAACAAAATCTTCATCAATATGAACAACTGAAACTGTCTCGTGTCAATCTGGAAATCTTCTCCAATGCAATGAAAACAATATTAACCTTATCTTATGACATTTTACTTGTCCTGTTTCTTGAAATTCGTCTTCATTGCTTTTATCATCTTTCATTATTATTTCGTAATGCTTCACATTATGCATCAGTCATCGATACAGATCCAGATGAAAATATCATGACATTGAATCGTGATCTAACACGTTTACAAGAAACATTACATTCGGCATTGAACGAAAAGAAGTTTCTGTTTCTTTTCCAAGGCCTTGGTTTTGTTTTAGCTACGATCTTAATTCGTTCGGCACCACGTTTTGTTCGTATTAGTGAGTCAGGTGTGACGAAAATGTGTCGAAATATCTTCGCCATTGAACAAACATTAACACAAATTCGAACAGTTGGTGATGCTGAACTGATGCGTGCACATCGTTACTATGAATTGTTGTATGCAACAAAACCAGATGAAATCATTGCTGTGATTGAAGAACGTGGACCGGAATATACTGAACAAGATTATATACACTTATTACAATTGAAACATCGAAGTTTTCCGGCGAGTGAAAGTGGCAATTTTGATTTGAATAAATATGAACAAATGATTCGCAAAGCACTTCATCCAAATAAAGTTGTGAATGGACAAACGAATGCAAAACATTAGAGAATGTTTAGTTATGCTTTTCTTCTTCTTTTGTTATTTAACGAGATTTTTATCATTATTAAGATTTTATATAAATTAGAAGAAAATTTGAAAAATGATTTTTTTCCCTCATTATTATCATTGTATTTATCGTTAATTTGATTGACATTCCATAAAACATTTAATTAATGCAAATCGGCTTCTTTTTCTTTCAGATCTGATATGGGATTCTCCTTCTATAGTGTAATTGAAGCAGCTCTACTGTGCGTTAATGCAGTAGCGATTCTGAATGAACAGAGACTTCTGTCCAGATGTAAAAGAAACTCGAATTGAAATCAACGAATTTTCTATTCGTTCGTCGGTTCTTTTTGTAGTTGGTGGAAGTGGAAATCAATACACCACTGGTTACGCTGATGAATTCCATCAGACCGGAGGAGCGAAACAACAATTACTTACTTTAATTCGATCTGTTCGAACAGTGATGCGAGGTAAAATAATCTGATTTGTTTTTCCAATCATTGAATGAATTTTGTTTGGTTTTAGTTCCTTTAGTTGTCTTTAATATTGTAACGATTCTATTTCTTGTTTTATTCGGTTAATAATTGAATTGGTGATCGGTTATTTCTTTCTTGTTTTCTTGGTGTATTTCAGATAATGTCCGAAGCCACAGGTGAATCGTCGCTTCATTTAGAAGAAGATGTAAAACGAGCTATAGTTCTTCTCGATCGTCTACGTACAACGAGCGAAATTCCTGAAACGAAATTACTTGAATTACAACGTATCTTCCAAAGCGACTTCTTCAATGCAGTTCTTGAAGTCTATGAAAAAATTTATGAAACAGTACAGATTTCTGGTTCGCCAGAAGTTCGAGCTAATGCGACGGCTAAAGCCACTGTGAGTTCAACTGAATGATTTACATTCTAGGATCACTACGTTTTGTTCCTCGTTAGGTTGCTGCTTTTGCTGCTAGCGAAGGTCATTCACATCCACGTGTTGTCGAACTGCCCAAAACTCAAGAAGGTCTGGGATTTAATGTAATGGGTGGCCGCGAACAAAATTCTCCGATCTATATTTCGCGTATAATTCCAAATGGTGTTGCTTGGAAACATGGCGGATTGAAAAAAGGCGATCAACTATTGTCTGTTAATGGTGTTTCAGTTGAGAATGAATATCATGAGAAAGCTGTTGAATTACTCAAACAAGCGCAAGGCAGTGTGAAGTTAGTTGTACGCTATTCGCCACAGGTTTTAATCGAAATGGAAAATCGGTTCGAAAAACAACGTACAGCACGAAAACCACCAGCACCAGCATCAACTTCACCTACAAATAAATAACATTTATTCAGATTAATATCTATCTATCATGTGTTTATTCTTCTATTCAATACCTGATTTTGCTTTCTCCAATAGTTAAACCTCTTCTTCTTCTTCTTCTTATTTTGTGTACCTTTAATCTGTCATATAATCTCGTTGTTCTATTTGTCGGAATCGAATAGAGAAATGAATACTTATAATAGAAATTCTGTATCTTGAACTTATTTTAGACAAAGAATATGACTGAAACGACACCAACAGTTAGTACTAAGGTAAAAACTCCTTTCCGAGATTTACTTGCCCGATAATGAACTGTGTATTTGGTTTTTTTAGCTCGAATTTCTGGTGGATTTTAATCAACAAGAACAAGTCGATCGATTGCGAAAACTACTAACTGATCGCAAAGGTAGACGAGAAATATTTGCACGTTTCGCGTGATCACAGAAGTCTCTTCTAGACATTACACATATTGATATCGATCCATCATCGAAACGTGTTGTACTGGACACAACAGAACAGTCATCAAAAATTCAAAAATTAATTGAACAGTCTTTGAACACAAATGCTGTGCTTTTAGGCGCTGGTAAGGAAGAACTTTGATTTTCGAAAGTAGTTATATATATATCATGGACTTAATAGGAAAATCTGCCGGTGCAGCCGCTGTTTCTGCGCTCTACAGTAATATCAATCGACCATTTGAACGTCGTGTTCATGGTTTAGTTCGATTCATTCAAGCTGATGACGAGCAATGTATCATCGAAGGAACCATCGATGGTCTTTCACCAAATTCGCCTGCGAAGATTAATATTCATGAATATGGAGATCTCTCGAACGGATGCGATAGGTATTCCTCATATTTACTCAATGAATGTGTTCAGCTCCATTGTTTAGTTGTGGCGACCATTATCAACCGTCGAAATCTTCTAATGGATCAAACGGTGTTCTTGGTCAAGTGATGACTGATGAAAGTGGAACCGCTGACTTTCGTTTGCTCAGAACTCATTTACATGTACCTGATCTCATTGGACGATCATTCGTAGTTCAAACTTCTGATTCTCAGTAGGTTTTTTTTCTGATAGGAAAATAGAAAACTGATTTGAGTTTGTAATATAGACGTGTTGCTTGCGGTATTATCGCACGATCTGCTGGCATTTTCGAAAATACAAAACGACTCTGTGCTTGTTCCGGTGCTACGGTTTGGCAAGAACGACAAGATGTTAAAGAAAGTTTTCAATAGATTTTTAATAGTATCTTTTTTATTTCCATTACAGTCACAGATCTATTTTTACTACGTGATCATATTTGTTTTATTTCGAACAAATATAAAACAAGTCAAGCGCTTTCCAAAAAATAAAATAGAAACGTTAACATACATGTTTTTTTTATAAACATCCAATGCCGAGATGTATATTGATGATCGAATAATGAATTGAAAATACAATCATTCAGATTACGAGGATCACCTGGACAATGAAAGTTATGGCGATCTCTTGAGCGGATGTGATAGGAATTCCTTATATTTACCCGATGAATGTGTTCAGTTTCCTTGTTTACAACTGTTGAAACTGTCTAATGCGTCAAACGATGTTCTCGGTCAAGTGATGACTGATAAAAAACGGAACCGTTGATTTTTGTTTGCTCAGAACTTGTTTACGTGTATTTGATCTTATTGGATCATCATTTGTAGTTCAAATCTATGACTCTCAGCGAGTTCTTTTGTTTGTGAGACTGTCAAAGAAAAAGAATTTTATCTTTTTGCGTAGACGTGTCGCTTTCGATGTTATTGCGCGATGGGCTAGCGTTTTCGTAAATACAAAGCGTATCGGCACCTGTTTTGTAGATACTGATTGGCAGGAATGTAGACCAGAAAAATATACTGAATAAAGTTACATACACTTATTCCCTTTTCTGAAAGAAAGGGTTATAGCGTCATAAATCGGGTGGTTGAAATGCAAAAAGTTTGCTTGCTTGTTTGTTTGCGTAATCCAATCAAATTGCAGCATTTTATAAATCAATGAAATTGATCGATTGTTGTTAGAAAATGATTACCGGTAGGGTAATCAAGGTCGGGGAACTTGAATCCGAGGTTAGTGTTGATTAATTAATTATTAGTTTTTCATTAAGTAACCATGACTTATTAACATTCATTGTCAGAGTAGATCGAAGGGTTTCTGATGTCGGGAAATTCGAATTTAAGGGTGGATTTCGTCTTATTCGCTGAGCCTGGGCTTGTTCCTTCCTCTTTACAAAGGAGATCTTTTTTCTTTATCTGTTCTGAAATCTTTTGTAGAAGATGGTGACCTGAACGCTATTCATGGACGTCATGCGTACAAAGAGAGTAGCTCAAGAATTTACACGAAAAGATATAATGCATTGTACATAATGATGATTCTAATTCAAGAAATCCGAAAAAGTGATACGAGCTTAGTATCATCTTTGCTTTGTAGGCTACATGCATCATGTCTTTTCATGGGATTTTAGTAGAAGTAGTTTGCAAAGTGATTTACCCGTCGGTGGGCTTTCATCTTCGTAAATACTGGCGCGTGGATTATACAAACAGTATTTCGAACGCATGCGGCGCTATGAAAGATGTTCGTTTCGAAGCAAATCATACAGTAAGACTTTCTTATCTAGTTTCTTTTGGTAGTCGAATGAATAGAAGATCATGACTGTCGAAGCGACAATAAAAGAAGACTCAATCGTTCAGTTTGAAAATCGATCGAAGGCGAAAGGAATAACAGAGACAGTATGGCAGCGGCTAGCCGTGAGCGGCTGACCGAAGGGAGGTCGACGAACCACTAGGCGTTTAAATGCTAGATTATTCCTAAAGTGTACGCTTAGAATAAACTTGCCAGGCTTCCGATAGTTTTGAAAGGGATTTGATGAATGGATATTCCTCAATGAAAATATTCGACAGGGTATCATTTCGTTGACAGGCGAGAAAAGAATCGGATTATTGCTGGAAGACACAGACGAATGTTCAGACTTTCCAAGTAGTCTACTGTATATCGTCCGTCTATGAGTGACTTAGCATAGCATTTGTGAAAATTTCCATACGCGTGATGTGAAAATAGAAAAACAGATGACAAGGTCAATGGTTGGCCGTCTGACTAGTCGTTGAGCGATGACTTTTTCAGTCAACATAGTTAGTGCTGGAGAATTATCCACTGACAAATGGCTAATCGGTCTGATTCCTAAAAAGACCTCTGTATCCTATTCATTCTAGTTCTAGTGTGTGACATAGTACCATGATTCAGTTGAGCACCAGTAGCGATCGCAGTGCGTTTTTTCTCTTTCGAAGTCTCTGAATGTATTCAGCATTCGGAAAAGTCTTTCAGAAAAGGGTCAGCTAATCCAAAGGATGAGCGTTACTTGTTAGTAGAAAACCGTTTTATCAATACTTTGTCTTCATGAGCCGTTAGATCTAGACGACAGAAAAATCAAAAGGAACGAATATTAGATGTAGAAATGCTTACGGCCATACCACGTTGAATACACCAGTTCTCGTCCGATCACTGAAGTTAAGCAACGTCGGGCTCGGTTAGTACTTGGATGGGTGACCGCCTGGGAATACCGAGTGTCGTAAGCTTTTTGCACACTCGTTTCTAATTTCGAATTTTGAATTAGTGATGATATCTGTTTTCAGCAGAATTTCATCGGCTGCCGCTTTTTTTTTCTATAGAATAGTGATCAATTCAAAAATATTAT